ACTCAATCAATCAATTTAAACTCACATTTCCCCAGTCATAGGTGGGACACACAACATCATTTCATGATCAAAATTTTCAAAAAATACGTAATATTTTCGAGGTTTTATTAGGTGATGAATTTCTTGTTACCTACAGTTTTTTGGACTTTAAATATACAAGAATCGTTTATATTGAACATAAAGATAATATATCATACAAAATATCAAAATCGACTTTGATTTCTTATTCTCAACACAATCTACAGGATGAGCTGTTCGCCTTTTTTTTATTCAAATTATTTATTTATCTACGCCACTGTCTACAGGGTTATTCATTGTACAGGGTGTCCAACTAAGACTCCAGAGTTCGATTTCTCTGTTGTCTTGAGAGATAAAAAAAAAGTCATGTATCAAAATTGATGTAATAATCGAGCTTCACATTTCAAAATTTCTTTGAAATACACAGGGTGTTCCGTAAGGTCACAGCACATCAAAGCTATGTTTTTTTCATTGGAACACCCTATATTTTCTTGAGACAGTTCTCGAATTGTCTCCTTATCTCTTTTATTTACTGAGTGATCTCAAAAAATTAACTTTTTGGTTTTGCAGTCATAACTTTCTTCCTCGTCAACCGATTTTCGAAATCTTGGGCTCATTTTGAAGCCTAAACTTCAGATGAAGAGATATGAAGATCAGACTCAAGATGAAAATTATACAGTGTGTCTCACTTCTAATGGAAGCACCCCTGTATCTTTCGTAATTTTTGAGTTAGGATTCTGAAATTCGCAAGAGCGGTAGATATACTGAAAATACACACAATGACCAAGTGGAGTCGTCTCCAGGGATATACACTGCTCGCCAACAGCCATGAAACCACCCACAAAAATGATATAAGGAGGCAAGATAGGTTGAAAATCACTTCGGATTCAAAATCAGGACGTCCCTTTCGTTTGCTCCTGCAAATTTGAGAACCCTACCTCAATAATAATAACGTGAGATATGGAGGTGCTTCCATGAGAAGTGAGACAAAATTAGATTTTCCTGAACTGAACATTTTCCAGAGAAAAATATAAATAGCCAGTGAATTGGGCGTCCTGATTCCGAATCCGAAGTGATTTTCAATCTATCTTGGCTCCTAATAACATTTTCCGGAAATTTGGGTGGTTCCATGGCTGTTGGCGAGCAGTGTTTATCACTGAAGATGACTCCACTTGGTCATAGTGTTTATTTTCAGTATATCTCCCGCTCCTGTAAGTTTCAGAATCCTAACTCAACAATTACGAAACATACAGGGGTGCTTCCATTAGAAGTGAGACACGCTGTATAATGTTCATCTTGAGTCAATTCCGATCTTCATATCTCTTCATCTGAAGTTTCAGCTTCAAAACGAGATTTTAAAAACGTATTGACAAGGAAAAAAGTTATGACTGCAAAACCAGAAAGTTAATTTTTTGAGATCACTCAGTAAATAAAAGAGATAAGAAGACAATTTGAAGAATGTCCCTAGGTAATGAGATCATCTTCATCCTTCTGCTGTCGAAGATGAAAAAAAAAGTTTTTGATCATTTGGGATCCGTTTGAAAATTCAGAAATTTTTCACAATTTCAGGTGACACCTTGTAGCGATTTCATATGAAGAACCTAATGTTTTAAAAAAGTTCTAGATTATAGCTGAAGGACTGGGCTAGCGAACAGTGTAATCCGAATTCAAATTGTTCAAAGCAGAAAAAAGTTATTCATATTTTAACAAGGACAAAATTTTGGGGTGCGACGAAATCAGTGTTGCGTAGTTTATTACTGATTGAAATCAATGAAAAATTAGGAGGTAGGTACTTACGTGAATTTTCTCGGGATTTGGGAGTATTGGGTTTTGGGTAAACGGGAATTTTCCTTTATTCATCCTGAAAGGATCAATATTATAACATTTTTAGTTAATTAACATACGCAAACTGACAATGGATTCAGGAGGTGAAAAAGAAAATGCATGAAAAAGAAATACAGTAAATTTATTTCCACTTTAATGAATAAATTGATATAATCTCCACTTCAATTTGATTGAGTAGAAAGGGCAACAAAAAACGCGTGTCTTTAAAATGCTGTCCGAAAAAAAGTTCAGCATTTTAAAAATACGTTTTTTGCGCGTTCATCAACCGGAAATTCACATTGTTTTTTAAGCAAGTATTATCATCATCATTATTGTTTATAATTATTGTATTCGACACTAAATATTGTCTAATTAATTTTTAGTTGATTCAGAAATAGTGGGACACCTATACATTTTTTTTAATTCCCAGACTATACAAAAATAAGATATTGAATCATAAGAAAATATTCAGCCATCAGAAATAATAAATATCGAGTCTGAATAAGATTCAGTAGAAAGTAGGAAATTACATAGAGTGAGCTTTGAATTTTAACAGAAACATTTGACATCATAAAACTCCTATTTTTCAATTTCCCAATTTTGAATTAGAATTTGAAGTAATTTTTCCTGCTAACACACTGTATATATAGTTCGAAAAAAGATAAATCGACCGTAAGAACTTTCTCATTTTTGCTCCCCTATATGAATTATTTTATTATTTTCTTTTTTGGCACATTGTGACTATTTTAAAGTTACAGGGTTTTCAACACATCGCAAATTCAGTAATGAGTATTCTTATTGTACATTTTATTGAGATTCGAATGGCGTTGTGTCAAAAACCGCTGATGAATCACCGAATCTGAGATCAAAATATATACTAAATCACATGGATGAAAACTTACCCTCTTCAAAAATCAGATATTTTCTTGAAAACACCTAATACCGATGATGGAGACTAGTGAACGTGTGTGTATGTTGTGTTGTGTTTTTTTTTTTGTCATTTTCACAATCAATATTGTTCCGTCAAAAAAATATTGAGACCTCATTCACGGAAATATATCATTTTTATACGATTTTTTAAAGTATTTGTACCACAGGTCTCCATCATAAATCTCACCTGAATTGCAAATCTCAAACAAGAGTGACAATCCGAAATGAACTGATGTTTTGAGGGCACCGAGTATACAGGTTGTCCCAGAATAACGTTCGTATACTCAGGGAGATGATTCTGCAGATAAAAATGAGAAAAATGTTTTCTGTGGGCGCCAAATCTATTTCAAGGAATTCAGTTTTTTTCAGTTATCTTTGTTACCATTGATCCTAGAATCATGAAATTTGGTACCTTTGGGTGATTTGATCTCACAAATCGTTTCGTGGTACAGAAAAAATGATGTAATATACAGGGAGGTGCGAAACTTGTAAGCGATGCTATAAAAATGTCCGAAGTTTTTTTGTCCCATGTTGTATCATTAATATCGACAGAATATGATTCTTCAAACACTTTTACATAAAAAATGTATACCTGTTGAAAGACCGTAAAACGAACCGTTCTCGAGAAAAGAGTAATTTTTCAATTTGATGTCCAAACAAAATTCACCTCCAGTGAATAAGTTTGTGACATTTAGTCAATTTCTATTGCGGATATTTTCACAACAAATCACATCACAACTAACTCTCATGAAAAAACTAACTGGAAATGTGAAATTTCGATTATCAATTTCAAATTTTTTTATCATAAGAGCACATGGTTCGTTTTACGGCAATCTAATAACAAGAATACCATTTTGATGTAAGAGTGTTTGCACAATCATATACTGCAGTAGAAATAAGATAAATCTTGAAACAAAAAACCTGGGGCATTTTTATTGCATCGGTTACGAGTTCCACACCTCCCTGTATATTAATTCATATTTTCCGTATCACAAAACGAATTGTAAAATCGAATCACCCTTATGTACGAAATTTCGTATTTCTACAATCAATGCTAACAAAGATAATTGAAGAGAACTGCATTTAGGGACTTACCTTCGAAGTATAGGAACGTTATTCTGGGACACCCTGTATAAATATCTTATAATTTACACATTTACCTATACATATCGGAAAAAACATCGAAAGTGAAGCTACAGAAATAACAAATCTTTCATTATTCAACAAAAACGATAAATATTATATATTATTCTCCGTAATCGTTGCTTAAGTTTCAACTACCTAATTCGGGTCACACCCGTTTACTGATATGTATCTTTTGCGAATATTGAGCGTACATCTGAAAAATCATAATTCGACCGAATATACAAACACGAAATAATACTGTTTTTTTGTTGCGCGCTCCGGGTTTTTATAAATGTTTCGGAGCGTGCTTTTTTCATTATCAAGTTTTTTTGTTACTTTTATAGATTAAACTTAATGTAATAAACAACCATCACCACTAATGGCGGTACTCTTAACGGCTCATCAACGAATATAATAGAATTTTTGTTCATTTTTTCACAGAGCACAGTTTTTTATTGTAAAAATATAAGTAAATAATAAAATATGAATAAATAGTGGCGCGATATTTTGACCCATTTTTTTCGTTTTGGCTAATCTGTATTTTAAACATTGCATGTAAAATGGAAAGAGCTGCGCCGCGCCTAGGTCGATCAAAATGAACACAAACGAAGGAACAAATTTCTCACAAATGCCAATATTGTCCAATCTGCACCTGCGAGAAATTAAAATGGGACTCACAGGAAATGTTCAAATCACAATGGTATGGAATTGGCAATTGCCATAGAGCTTATATTTTTTGGATTTCCTTCAACGGCAAATAACGAAAAAACATGGAATTCTTGCAATCCCTAGACATTTTCCCAAAAAATTTCTCGAAATCCCTGATTCATTGTAATTCCTAGAGAAATCTCTACAATGTTCTAAAAACTCCTGGACATGCTTTGTAATCTTGAAGTAATTCTTTGCAAACCCTAGAAGTTTTCTGAAACCCCCGATAACATGTCTTCTAATCCCCAGTCGTTCTCTCCCATATCTAGAAATCCCTAGAAATTCCACGAAATCCCTACAGCGTTTTCGAATTCAATTTCAATTCCGAATTTCCCGCTTCTTCCCAAGACACCCACCCCTTTTATTGGAATGCACACCTAAAAACGAACACCCCATCATCTCCCCTCTTCACCATCTCCCCCCACCGCCGGCAACAGGTTGTCGAGCGTCTTCGATTCGTCCAATTCCGCGTAGGCGGAGCCTATCAAAGTTTTTAAGTGCTTTAACGCCTCCGTGTCGAACACAGAGCGAGCCGTATTGGTCAAATCGAAAGGCTCTTCGATGCACAGGTATTTCCATTGGTGGGGATCGTTTTTGGGCGCTTTCGCGTACCGACATTCGTCTATGGAGAGGCTGCAACCGGCCCGAACCGAAATGGCGTACTGTTGGAAATTGTACGAGGCGTAGTAGCGGAAGAAGCTTACCAGCAGTTCGCCCAATAACATCATTGAAATTCTCAAGAATTCGTGAAACCTCTAGACATACCTTGTAATCTAAAAGAATGCTTCAAAATCTCCAGAAATTTCAAGAAACTCCAGAAAGTAGAATAAAAAAATTATAAAATCCCTGGCCATTCTTTGACATTCCTTGGCCACTCATTGAAATGCCTAGAAATCTTAATAAATTCACCCAAGTCTCTATATTTTCCTTAAAATCCCTAGAGATTCATTGTAATTCCTAGAAAAATCTCTACAATGTTTTTGAAACTCCTAGACATGCTTTGCAATCTTAGTTATTCTTTGAAATCCCTAGAAGTTTTCTGAAACCACCAATAACATGTCTTGTAATCCCTAGTCGTTCTCTGCCATATCTAGAAATCCCTAAAAATTCCACGAAATCCCCACCCATTAATATCCCTAGACATTCCTCGAAAACCCTGTCTTTCAATTCCGCATTTCCCGCTCCTTCCCGGGACACCCACCCCTTTTATTGGAATGCACACCTAAAAACGAACACCCCATCATCTCCCCTCTTCGCCATCTTCCCCCACCACCGGCAACAGGTTGTCGAGCGTCTTCGATTCGTCCAATTCCGCGTAGGCGGAGCCTATCAAAGTTTTGATGTGCTTAAACGCCTCCGCGTCGAACACAGAGCGAGCCGTATTGGTCAAATCGAAAGGCTCTTCGATGCACAGGTATTTCCATTGGTGGGGATCGTTTTTTGGCGCTTTCGCGTACCGACATTCGTCTATGGACAGGCTGCAACCGGCCCGAACCGAAATGGCGTATTGTTGGAAATTGTACGAGGCGTAGTAACGGAAGAAGCCTACCAGCAGTTCGGCCCAATAAAATCATTGAAATTCTCAAGAATTCGTGAAATCTCTAGAAAATCCTTCAAATCCCTACGATGTTCGTGAAACCTCTAGACATACCTTGTTAATCTGAAAGAATGCTTCAAAATCCCCAGAAATTTCAAGAAACTCCAGAAACTAGAATGAAAAAATTATAAAATCCCTAGTCATTCTTTGACATTCCTTGGCCACTCATTGAAATGCCTAGAAATCTTAATAAATTCACCCAAGTCTCTTTATATGCATTCCTCGACATTATCAAGTAATAGGGAAATCTCTATATTTTCCTTAAAACCCTAGAGATTCATTGTAATTCCAAGAGAAATCTCTACAATGTTCTTAAAACTCCTAAACATTCTTTGTTATCTTGAAGTAATTCTTTGAAACCCCTAGAAGTTTTCTGAAACCACCAATAACATGTCTTGTAATCCCCAGTCATTGTCTGCCATATCTAGAAATCCTCAGAAATTCCACGAAATCCCTACCCATTAATATCCCTAGACATTCCTCGAAAACCGTGTCTTTTAATTCCGCATTCCCCGCTCCTTCCCGGGACACCCACCCCTTTTATTGGAATGCACACCTAAAAACGAACACCCCATCATCTCCCCTCTTCACCATCTTCCCCCACCACCGGCAACAGGTTGTCGAGCGTCTTCGATTCGTCCAATTCCGCGTAGGCGGAGCCTATCAAAGTTTTGATGTGCTTAAACGCCTCCGCGTCGAACACAGAGCGAGCCGTATTGGTCAAATCGAAAGGCTCTTCGATGCACAGGTATTTCCATTGGTGGGGATCGTTTTTTGGCGCTTTCGCGTACCGACATTCGTCTATGGACAGGCTGCAACCGGCCCGAACCGAAATGGCGTACTGTTGGAAATTGTACGAGGCGTAGTAGCGGAAGAAGCCTACCAGCAGTTCGCCCAAGGTAGCTAGGTTATCCGAGCGGAAATCCTTGACGGTTGCTATTTCTTCTTGCACGTCCATCGAGTGGTTGACGCTGTCCGAGTTGAATTTTTCCGGGATGAGACCGTGCAGGCAGGGGAGTACGGGAGGGGTAACGCCGCCTGGAAGGCGAAAGGGTCTAAGTGACGAACGAATGGATGAAATACGCGCGAGAGAAACGCTTGTCAACGTAGCTACGTGGAAATTGTGACCCCTGATTCATAGATTCAATAACGTAACGCAAGTACTTTAAATTAAATTAATAATAGCACTGATCGTGGCTGCAACGCGAGAAATGCCTATTTCCATCTTTCTAGGGTCCCTTGATGCAAACTGAATTATTTGGGACAGATCATAGCTCCTTTCTCTTTTAATCATCTAGTGACTTTGGTTTCGTGTATTGGCATCCCTGACATAACATTGCTGTCACGTCACATTCATAGTCGTTAAAATGAACTTAGAACATGGAAAGTGAAGTGACCGAATAGGGAAAATTGGTATATAAATACATGAGCAAAATATTCGAGGTGAAACTAAAAGGAAACCACATATTATACTTTCTCATTGTGCCTATAATTATCCACTCCACAAGTTTTTGAATGCATTTTAGTAGAAACAGTTTTGATCAAAACGGAGGATCAGAAGAAGAGGCATATGCCCTACTATTTAAAAAAATATACCTACATTCAGGAAATATTAAGTGTGATAGAAACACATATTATTTTTGTTCAAGGAATATATGGTTAATGGATTGACCTCATTTTAGCGGACACCCTGTATATCATTTCATAATCAGATGACGGTATAAATCTGCAGCCGGTTCTCCTACTATATATGAGGAATATGTGAGGAACACCCTGTGTATAAGTATAGGGAAAATGAAAAGAAGTGATAACTACTTACATTGCAAAAAATGGATGACCATCAAAGCCCAGGAATAACTGGAGACCGTCATATTCTTGGCGTCATTTATTTTGTTGGCTTGAGCCCACAATTTCACGATGACTACCAAAGGACGTACCCTCCAATCCAAACGAGCATAGCAGTGTAACAGATGAGTGTTGCGGATGCCTACAGAATTATTGCAATTCAAATCAATCTCGAAACCGGTCTCTTTATCCTTGAATTTCAATATAGGAACTTTGGCTAGGATCAATTCTGGATCGACTGTCAGCTCTGGAATAATAGAAATGGTGGAAGTTTGATTGCTTCTTAATTGAACTCGAAATATTACCGTATTTCAATAGAAGATGCCTTATGGAATTCAAATGATGCAAGGCATCTAACCGAGGATCATTTGTACACGGTTTCGTAAGCAAACACATATCTATATCGCTGCTTTCCAAACCGAAACCGGACATCGTTGAACCCACCATGAATAATCCATAACTGTTCAAACATTTCTGAAAATCACATATGAATTTCACAAAAACGTCGATTTCTAGATATCGAATTCAAATATGACGCCATTTTACAAGTATGTGACCTTCATTTGTTCTTCTTCTTTATCTTCTTTGCATCGACACTTACCCTGATGTACAAAAATATATTCTTCCACAAGCTGATCTTGCTCTCGTACGTCTTCTCTTTTTGCGCTTTGCTACTAAATACGTCCCACACGGCCTGGTTAAGCCCGTCCCACGGGCCGCCGTTTAGCAGTCCTGGCGGGTTAGGCTCGATACGCATCAAATCGGAACGCGACTTGAAGCGTTCCACCAATCCGTGCGCTCGCTTCACCATAACATCCATGCCATGCTGCTTGTGGTAAACGTGGTTACCATTGTGGTTATGTTTGCTCTGCCGGACATTCGTCGAGCCATTGTTGCAAGGGGAAGAAGAGTTGTTGCTATTCGTGTAATATCTGCAATTTCCCGAACACGGATACCGTTAGGAAAAACGGTATCTTTTTGCAAAAATAGGGAACATAGTTCTGTGGCGATTGATTAATAATTATATCACTCGCTCTGTGAATTCGGAAGAAGAATACATCATGTACACGCTTGTCGGCATCCAGCAGCGGAAGCCCAGCCGCAGCGTCTTGCGGCAATCCACTTGAGACGTGCCTAAATATTTCGAACCATTCCTATCACGTGATATGCTGAATTTCCTGTTTTCTCATCATTATTAGAGAGTTGAAGTAATCACTGTACGTAGACCTCCACGTAGACGTTAACGTACGAAAAATAACGTTTACGTATTGTCGTTAAATTGAGTTGAAGTCGCCACTTTTGTCGTCACTGTCATCATAACGTAATAATACATTTTGTTTTCGGTTTGTATTTTGTATTGGTCATTTTTGGTTGTGTGTTCAGATTCGAACATTTATTCCTGTCAAAATTAGAGGACTCCTTGATGCAGAACTCGTTGGTGATCTCGAATTTGATAATTTTGACTCATCGGCATATTTCGAGTATAGTTTGGTTAACGTACGTTGATATTTAAGGTATACGTGAAGGAACGTGAGATAACGTACACCCGTAAGCCCACTAACAACGCAAACGTGAAGAATTGGAAAATGCGCATGCGTAGCTGTCAATTTCTACGTTTACGTTAACGTTCATGACAACACTTCAACTCTCTATTTTTCGTAGTAAGATTGTGTGAATTCCTACGAGCAAATGCACATGCGTCCATAATGTATCACGTGATTCACTGTGACCAATCGGACCATTCTGACAATGAGGTTTGGGAATGGTTCGAAAGTTATAGGCTCCCGGTTTACTTGAGGAAGAATGACAATTGACAACTGCTGAACTGACATTTGGCAAGTGACAGCTGAGGTAAACTCCAAAATCAATAAAATATAAATTAAAAATTAACCAATATAATATAATATAGAGGCATTTTGATTGAAATCTTCACAAGCTCCGGTAAACTGATAAATTGAGTCGACAATGCAATAAAACAATAATCACTAGTGAAATTTTGTCTTGATTAGTAAAATGAGTGCTGACCTAATTGTGGACCCCCAAATCCGCTTCTGGGTATTCCTGCCCATCGTAGTTATAACGTTTTTGGTGGGTATACTTAGACATTATGCTTCGATCCTATTATCCAGCCAAAAGAAAGTGGAAATGCAGCAACTGGCAGACTCTCAGCTGCTTTTAAGAGCGAGAGCCTTGAGAGAAAACAGTGGCTACATTCCTAAGAACTCTTTCCTGATGCGCAAGCAAGCCTTCAATAAAGAAGACGGCTATCTGATGCAAAAGCGGCCCCCAGTCACCCAAAACATGATGACAGACCCCTCCATGATGACAGACATGCTCAAAGGCAATCTGACTAATGTTCTGCCCATGATCATCATTGGAGGCTGGATCAACTGGGTGTTTTCTGGCTTCATAACCACCAAGGTGCCGTTTCCATTGACCTTGAGATTCAAACCTATGCTTCAAAGGGGCATAGAACTGTCCCACTTGGACGCCAGCTGGGTATCATCTGCTTCATGGTATTTTCTCAATGTTTTTGGGCTGAGAAGCATTTATACTCTGGTGTTGGGGGAGAATAATGCTGCAGATCAGAGTAGGCAGATGCAGGAGCAAATGCAGATGACAGGGGCTGCTTCAGGAATGCCAGCAGACCCTAAAGTGCCTTTCAAGGCTGAATGGGAAGCATTGGAGATAATGGAGCACCAGTCAAAGTTATTTGATGCTGAAGATGTATTACAAGAATGAAGGCACCTGTTATTATTTATTGTTTAGTTTAGTGAAACTTAAATGGAATAAAGATATATGCCCCAAGTTTCAACAATTTTCTTACATTTTTGTTTGGTGCTGAAATTATTTTTCATTTAGTCTTACAGCATTGGAAATATTGAATATAATATCACTAATTTCATCAAAAACACAATCTTTGTGTATGTTGAAGATTGATAGTGATTATATGTATCCAATAGATGATTCTGAAAATTATGTTGTCACCCAGCCATCTTCGGACGGCCGAAAGTGCCAGAAAACGGCGAAAATCCACGCGAATTATCGCTTTTCCAGCACTCCGGTAGGCTACTACGTCTCTATTTTTCAAAATTACCCGATTTCCACAACGGATTCGTTCATTTCGACATCGAATTAGTCTATGTGAATTTTTTCAGATTTTTAATGGGTCAAATGAAAATTTTCATTTTCCCACCTAAGACTTCAGTACGATATAGTCACCGAGCCATCTTCGGACGGCCGAAAGTGCCAGAAAACGGCGAAAATCCACGCGAGTTATCGCTTTTCCAGTAGAAAATGACACGTTGAATCGAATGAGACCATAATCAGCCCGATAGGACAGATAGTTTTTGAGATATCGACGCTCAAAGTCAACTTTTCGCTTTTATTGCCAATAGAAGCACTCCGGTAGGCTACTACGTCTCCATTTTTCAAAATTTTCCACCACGGATTCGTTCATTTCGATATCGAATTAGTCTATGTGAATTTTTTCAGATTTTTAATAGGCCAAATAAAAATTTTCATTTTCTCACCTAAGACTTCCATATGATAAAGTCACCGAGCCATCTTCGGACGACCGAAAGTGCCAGAAAACGGCGAAAATCCACGCGAATTATCGCTTTTCCAGTAGAAAATGACACACTGAATCGAATGAGACTATAATCAGCCCGATAGGACAGATAGTTTTTGAGATATCGACGCTCAAACTCAACTTTTCGCTTTTATTGCCAATAGAAGCACTCCGGTAGGCTACTACGTCTCTATTTTTCGAAAATATCCGATTTCCACAACGGATTCGTTCATTTCGATATTGAATTAGTCTATGTGAATTTTTTCAGATTTTTAATAGGCCAAATAAAAATTTTCATTTTCTCACCTAAGACTTCCATAGATAAAGTCACCGAGCCATCTTCGGACGGCCGAAAGTGCCAGAAAACGGCGAAAATCCACGCGAATTATCGCTTTTCCAGTAGAAAATGACACGCTGAATCGAATGAGACCATAATCAGCCCGATAGGACAGATAGTTTTTGAGATATCGACGCTCAAACTCAACTTTTCGCTTTTATTGCCGATAGAAGCACTCCGGTAGGCTACTACGTCTCTATTTTTCGAAAATATCCGATTTCCACAACGGATTCGTTCATTTCGATATTGAATTAGTCTATGTGAATTTTTTCAGATTTTTAATAGGCCAAATAAAAATTTTCATTTTCTCACCTAAGACTTCCATATGATAAAGTCACCGAGCCATCTTCGGACGGCCGATAGTGCCAGAAAAAGGCGAAAATCCACGCGAATTATCGCTTTTCCAGTAGAAAATGACACGCTGAATCGAATGAGACTATAATCAGCCCGATAGGACAGATAGTTTTTGAGATATCGACGCTCAAAGTCAACTTTTCGCTTTTATTTCCAATAGAAGCACTCCGGTAGGCTACTATGTCTCTATTTTTCAAAATGACCAATTATTGAGATAAAATTATGTCAAATAATATAATAAATTAGGGATTCATATTCAATGATTCATTTTTGATTCATAATACTAAAAATGTTAATAAAATACATTACTAAAATCAATATGGAACAAAAGTGAGAACATGCCACATGCAATAACAAAAAAAGTTGAAGTTGTACACAAAAAACAAGAAAAACAATATTAAAGACTAAAATATTCCCAAAGTACCTATTTTACAATTCCCTCAATATGGATTTTGTGATTCAAATATCCAACACTTTCTAAATATAATTTGGGTACATTATGGTACATTTTAATCTTTAAGCCTCAAAAAAAAAAAAAAAACAAAGGACACCCACAGAAACAGACACTTTTACCTATTTTTGTGGTGATGTCCATTATTATGAATACCATGTTGTATATCAGAAGAGTACTGTAAGCTAGTATGATAAACATTTGGAGAACTTTGACTGTATTTCCCAAACACCATGGTCTGATCACTTAATCTATTTGTCCCACATCTTGAATTGTTATAATACCTTATTCCTTGAACAAATTAACACACTTTCAATATGGACAGTCTAGTTTCTAGGCATCATAAACATAATATATCTAGGGAAAAAATAATAGCTATTATTCTATTTGATACAAAATACTTACTATTCCTGTTATCTGTGGGAGATCCTCTTGAAGAATAGGAAGTGCTACTTTCATCACTGTCATATCCTTTGGGGGAAATAGGCCTGTAATTGTCTCTTGGCCTTGTAGAGTCTCTAGGTTGATATCTCTTGACAGTATTACTGTTATTATTATTGTTATTGTACTGAGACATCTTATGAGGTGGTGGAGGCATCACATTCAATGGAAAATTAACCATATGTGTGATATTTCGATTCACAACTTCCAGACTATCCATACCAATGTCCGATTTGCTAACATTGTTGTTCAGTACATTCACATCTTCGTTTTCTGTGTTGTTTTTGTAAGGGTAATGGGGAGGAGAATATATGTCATAGTACATTGTTTCGGAAAAGATAGTCGGATTGGCAATTTGTGATTCAAGTTCCATCTCAAAAATACACAAAGTGAGGTGTCTTCAACTTCAACAAGTTTTTCTTGCCCAAAAAAATATGCAGGTTATGAAGCAGGAAAGCATATACACATCCAAACTATCTTCGTGCAATGCTTGAAGTTTGCACTTATTTACTATCTTACCATACTTGTCTTGTAATCAACGAAGGCCCCCAAATCGGAATGCTGTATGACCTTTCGAGACAATTATGAAAAAATAATGACAGCTTCCATCTTTTTGCCCAAAGCACAGAAAAAAGTCAAAGTTGATCAAAATACCGCCAAATGCGGTTGCGCTCAGGTGTCATTTTTGCCAACATAAAAAAAAATCTGAAATATGATATTCATAGCAATGACGACTAAATATCTAGACTGTCTGACGGGTTATCTCGATATTTAGCCGTCACTGTTCATAGGTTCGTTTTCGCGACTGTCTGTTCTATTCTGGAGAAACCAGTGTAAACTGAGAGCAAAGATTCAGCGGGTGATTTGAAATGACTCATAAGGCTGCCCGCATTATCTAATATAATTACCATTTAAACAATTCAATGTGAAGCGTCTGTACAGCCACGCCACTTCTAACTATAAAATTTAGATCGATAAACAGAGTCAAGATGTGGAGTACCTCCCAAAGAACCTTTATAATAGCAGAGATCGGACAAAATCATCAAGGTGATTTAGATATCGCAAAACAATTGATCAAAACAGCAAAAGTAAGTTGAATTCATGCGCATATCAGATACACTGCCCACCAAGTACCTTTACATATTTTTTTTTTACTTTTAAAGGACTGTGGCGCGGATTGTGCTAAGTTTCAAAAAACCTCCCTGAGAGATAAGTTCACGGAATCTGCATTGAATAAACCATACGTGTCTGCAAATGCCTTTGGAACAACTTATGGAGAACACAAATCGGCTTTAGAATTCACTGAAGAGGAATTCAAGTTGTTACAGGTATAATATATTTTGGAAAATTAATAGAAAAAAATATCCTTCCTTCACCTGATCCACCCTGTAGAAAAATCCTTGTTACCACAATAGCTGTTTCAGGAATATGCTAATACAATGGGGATTTTATTCACTGCCTCTGCCATGGATCCAATTTCTCTAGATTTTTTAATCAGAATAAAGGTTCCTTTTGTTAAAATTGGTTCTGGTGATGCAAATAATTTTTTATTGCTCGAGAAAGCTGCCAAAACAAACATACCTTTGATTATTTCAACAGGTAAATACAAGGGTTTTCTCTTATATTTAATTCAATTGAATAAATGTTTTGAATTCAGACAACCCATTTTTTTTAGGAATGCAGACCATGGAAAAAGTTAGAGATATCTATCAAACTGTTTCCAAATACCACAAAAATTTTGCTCTACTACACTGTGTGTCCTCTTATCCAACTCCATTTGAAGACATCAACTTGAATGTTATCAACTTATACAAAAAAGAATTTCCTGATATTACCATAGGATATTCTGGCCATGAACTAGGCATTCATATTTCAACAGCTGCAGTAGCATTAGGATGTAAAGTAAATATTAATTTCAAAAAATTATACCACTGCCTATACATCAGTGTGTCCCACTTACCATGCTCACCATGGGTATCTTTTTAACGGTGAGACATACGAGGTCGGTTAAATGACACCAAATGTGGAGTTTGTCATGGCCAACTATAATGTGAAAAAATATTTCCATAAAATTTATCCGTTTTTGTTTTATACGCAAAGAACAGATTTTGATCATTTTCATGTCTCCTCCGTAACTTCTTTATTTATGAAAATATTCAAATAGGAATCTCACATTCCCATGGCAGTTTTTCGAAGTGATTTCGAAAATAATATGAAATTTATACCAACTCTTCTAGGATTTGAGATATCAGCACCAACTTTAGTTTTTCAAATGTAGGTCATAGCTCACTATGACTTAGTAAGAAATAACTTTTTTTTCTCTTTCAGATGATATGTGGCAGTAATAGTTTTGTGTGGATAACAACGGAGTTATCGTCATTTTATATAAATAAACTAAAAATTATTTGGAAGCCGACATCTTGAATTTATGGATTTCAACAAAAAAATGATGATCTCCGACCTCAAAAACCCCCACTTACCAATTTTGAATGGAATCGGACCAAATCTTGTACGCCATCTTGGAGCAGCCATTTTTTTATTTCAACAAAAATTCTATAATGTATTTTCACCGAAATTATGAACACCTGCCGAATTTCTAGTTAATCGGAGTTATGAAATTTTTGTTAAAATTGAAAAAAATGGCTGCTCCAAGATGGCGGACTTGATTTGGTCCGATTCCATTCAAAATTGGTGAGTGGGGGTTTTTGAGGTCGGAGATCATGATTTTTTTGTTAAAATTCATAAATTCAAGATGGCGGCTTCCAAATAATTTTTTGTTTTTGTATAAATGACGATAACTCCGTTGTTATCAACAGAAAACTATTACTGCGACATATCAACTGTAAGAGAAAAAAAAGTTATTTGTAACTAAGTCATAGTGAGCTATGACCCACATTTGAAAAACTAAAGTTGGTGCTGATATCTCAAATTCTAGAAAAGTTGGTATAAATTGCATATTTTTTTCGAAATCACTTTGAAAAACTGCCATGAGAATATGAATTCCTATTGGAATATTTTCATAAATAAAGAAGTTATGGAGGAGACATGAAAATGATCAAAATCTGTTTTTGCCTATAAAACAAAAAGGAATAGATTTTATCAAAATATTTTTTCACATTATAGTTGGCCTTGACAAACTCCACATTTGGTGTCATTTAACCGACCTCGTATCTCTCGACGTTAAAAAGATACCCATGGTCAGTGGAACACACTGTATATGTAAAATTGTAACTTTCAGATAATTGAGCGTCACATAACCCTGGATAAAAAACAGAAAGGAACAGACCACAAATGTTCTCTGGACCCAAAGGAATTCAAAAAGTTGGTTGAGGACATAAGAACTTTAGAAAAAGCTATGGGAGAACCAGTCAAAATCCTCAGAGAATCTGAGAAACCATGTTATGAAAAACTAGGGAAATCATTGGTATATGCAAGACCATTACACAAAGGTCACACACTAGAATTGAGTGACTTTCATGTTAAAGTTTCTGTACCAAAAGGAATTGATGGAAGTGATATGATGAAGGTAGTTGGAAAAAAATTAGTAGGTAATGTTAGAGAAAATGAACCTGTACTAGCTGGAGATTTTATTTGATCAATAAAGAGTTATACCTGTCACCTTTTTCTTTCATATTTCCAAATGTAGATTGGGGCACTATCTTTTGTTCCTTTCTTGATGCGCTTAGGTGGTAGGACACTCTTTTTATTCTCCACTGCCTTTGATAATTCAATTTTCTGTTGGGTTATTGTAAGTTCTTTTTCCCTTGCTATCCTCTTTGCTAGTTCTTGATATAAACACTTTCTGGTTTTGGCACTCTGTTGTAAAGCATGTTCATCAACTTCTGGCAATTCTTTTTCAGAGAGTAGCTTTAAGGTCCTTCTTTGAGCCTCCAATTTTTTTCCTTTGTCAAAATAAATATGTTTATTTGTCTTGTTCATATCAACACTGGCCAATTGTAAGTGAGACTGTAGTTTCTCAATTTTCTTCATTTCTTGGGTTTTCTTTGTCACAATGTATTTCAGGTCCTGTGTTTTCATTAGCTGAACCTGTTCTGGAGTGTCCTCAGTTTCAGTATTTTTCTCAAAGTGTACCCCATTATCTGTTTTCGAGTTTATCATATGATGATAGAACTCATCTGGATTTTTGTTGAGAGCTCTCTTTCTGAGAAGTTTCAAAGTGGCTTTTTTGTCATTGAAATCCTTGGCACGACGAACATAGTCCTTTTTCTTCTCCAAAAGGCCCAAATGCTGCCGCTCTTCAGGTTGATGTCTTTCCTTGTGTGTTTTTTGATGTGCTTTGGCTGCTTTTTTCCAAACAGACATTGTTAAATATTTTCCTCCCTGTAAATTAATATTCAACAAATAATTGCCTGATTGGAATGCTAATACCAATGACAACTCACCGCTTCTCCAAAATCAAATTATTCAGCTTTCGCTACACAACCATCCAAAATTCCAAAATAAAATACAAAACAAAAACACCATCTTCTTCTCCTTCTTTTATGTTTCGTGGTTCGTGGCTTTCTGGCTTTCTGACTCCTTGAGCTGTGTTTTGTGGTATTTTGATGCAATGATTATTATATTTAATTTAATTTAACAGCTCTATTTTCCATAAGGAATGGACTAAATTAAATATAAGTTAAATGGGATTCTCTGAACGCATCTTAGTGAAAGGAATGCTTGAAATCTTAAGATAAGTTAAAATTAAATAAAAATAAGAATTTCCGCAGCTCGGCGTGAAACGTTAGTTCAGCAGAGTACAGACATTGACAGTGACAATGACAAGATTGACATTATTGACAAGTAACAATATTGGACAGTGAGGTGTAGTGACAGCAGGGACGCCCAAAAATGGCAAAGATATAGAAAATGTTATTAATTAAATTGAATTTTGTGATTTTAATATTTTTAATAGATGAATTTTAAAATCGAATGATGATCAGTGAAATATTGTTTCTTTTCTAAATATTATTTATCACCGTATTTAATTTGCTGGTTTACAGCTTCTAATCTACTATATTGTTGTGTGTTGTTGTGGTGTGGTTCTGAAAAGTGAAAAGATGTCCAAGAAAAATATAGACAGTTTTCAAACAAAAATAACACGAAACGATCGTTTCGCACAGATGTCCTATCAAGAAAAACTAATAGAACAGAAGAAAAGGGAAATTCAGGCAAAACTTGATGCCAAAGAGAAAACAAAAGTTGATGCAAGTAAAGTAAAAATAGATCCACCTGCAAAATCAAGCTCAAAGAGGTAAGTAATACAAAGTGCTTAACACAACAATATTTGTATTATCTTTGTTGCTTTTTCTGTAGTGATATAGAACTCAAGAATAATAATGCATTTTCCAATGATGGTTCATTTCTTGATCAATTCAAACAGTTGAAGGAAACGAAAAAAACAGACTCAAAGCCCAGATCCTTCAATAGATCAAAAGACCGTTTCAGGTAACTCATCAGACAAACTTCCATGTTGCATTCATCTAGTTCAAGTTTTTCAGTGATGACAGAAACAAACCAAATAACAGATGGGGCCCAAGAAAAAGATCTCCTTCACCAAAAGACTCGCATCCCAAACGTGTCTCACGCTTTTCCAATGAAAAAATGTCAAACTTTGAACCCAAAATAACAATAAGCACTTCATTCAGCAACTCTTTAGTACATCAAAAACCACCTCCACCTCCACCTGCTACCCCTATTCCCCCCACCACTAACACACCAAACATGACCAGTCAAACACTGTTGAAAGATATACCTCTCAAAACCTTACAGCTGAATACAGCTCCTCAAATCCACAATGTACAACCCTTGGAAAACATCAGCTCCAACACCAACCAGACATTCATCCCCACTCCCATATTCACCACTGTGAACCTACCCCTAGTAGCCCCAGTACCCCCTCCACCAGTGGAACTAGCCAAAATACCCCCACCTAACCCCATACAAGTAAGAAACATTCCACCACCAGAGCCCTTGAATGCATTAACAATCCCCCAACCTGCTCCCATGCAAGTACAGAACATCCCCACCCCAACTGCCCTGCAGCTGAACCAGATCCCCAACCCCAAACCCCTGGATTTGATGGCCATTCCCACCCCCAATGAAAACATCTCAGATCCTGAATTCCTGAAAAACATCCCACCCCCAAACAGGTCTGTACCACCACCACAAATGCCGGAATCCCAGCCGTCTCAAATGGACTTCCCCCCCACACCCACTCAAATGGAGTTCCCCCCCAAACAGCCTCAAATAGACTTCCCCCCCAAACCCACTGAAATAGACTTTCCCCCCATGGTATCCAGCCCTTCCAACATCCCTAGAAGTACCATACCCTCCCTGATGTCCAAACCCATTTTGCCGCCACCTGGTATGAGTCTCAACATCAATATGAACTGCCCACCCCCCATGTTGAATTTTGGGGGACAGGGAACGGGAAATTTGGGGCAACTGCCCAGCATGAATGTGCCACCTCCAGCTGCTAGTCTTCCAATGGCAGATAACAGATACGGAGATATGGATGCAGGTAATAATCCTCAGGATATTGAATTTTGACCCTATGATGTTTTTTCTATTGCTTACTTTGATTCTCTGTTCCCAAAATACCGCCGAAATGCTTGAAAAGGTCACTTGTGTGAAAGTGAGTCAAGAGTAAAAATGAGTCAACATGAGCATATGTCAGTATGAGTGTAAGAGTGAGAATGTTAATGATGATGAGAGTGTGAATCCAAGGCATAATGATTCAAAATATGATTGAGCCAGATAGAGAGCAAGAATAAGAGTGAGAATGCTAGTGATGAGTGAGAAAAAGAGTCAATTTGAGAAATGAGATGAGAATGGACCAGGATGAGTGTAATAGTGAGAATGCTGGTGAAAATGAGAGTGTGATTCCAAGTGATAAAGAGGCTAAGAATGCAAGTGATTAGTGAGCAAAAGAGTCTTAGAGTGAAAATGAGTTAAAATGAGAATGGGTCAGGATGAGTGTAAGAGTGAGAATGTTAATGATGATGAGAGTGTGAATCCAAGTCATAATGAGTTAAAATATGATTGAGCGAGACAGAGAGAGAGAGAGAGAATAAGAATGAGAATGCTAGTGATGATGAGAGTGTGCATTCAAAAAATAATGAAAGTGATGAGAGAGAAAAAGAGTCAAAAAAATGTGAATGAGAGTGAGAATGGGCCAGGATGAGTGTAATAGTGAGAATTCAGATGAAAATGAGAGTGTGATTCCAAGTGATAAAGATACTTAGAATGAAAATGATTAGTGAGCAAAAGAGTCCAGAGTGAAAATGAAATGAGAATGGTTCAGGATGAGTGTAAGAGTGAGAATGTTAATGATGATGAGAGTGTGAATCCAAGTCAGAATGATTGAGCGAGACAGATAGAATAAGAGTGAGAATGCTAGTAATGATGAGAGTGTGCATTCAAAAAATAATGGAAGTGAGAATGCAAGTGATGAGTGAGAAAAAGAGTCAAAATGAGAATGAGAGTGAGAATGGGCCAGGATGTGTGTAATAGTGAGAATGCTAGTGAAAATGAGAGTGTGATTCCAAGTCCTAAAGAGACTGAGAATACAAGTGATGATTGAGTAAAAGAGTCAAGAGTGAAAATGAGTTAAAATGAGAATGGGTCAGGATGAGTGTAAGACTTAGAATGCTAGTGATAATGAGAGTGTGAATCCAAGTGATAGAGTGAGAATGCAAGTGATGAGTGAGAAAAAGAGTCAAAATGAGAATGAGAGTGAGAATGGGCCAGGATGTGTGTAATAGTGAGAATGCTAGTGAAAATGAGAGTGTGATTCCAAGTCCTAAAGAGACTGAGAATACAAGTGATGATTGAGTAAAAGAGTCAAGAGTGAAAATGAGTTAAAATGAGAATGGGTCAGGATGAGTGTAAGACTTAGAATGCTAGTGATAATGAGAGTGTGAATCCAAGTGATAGAGTGAGAATGCAAGTGATGAGTGAGAAAAAGTGTCAAAATGAGAATGAGAGTGAGAATGGGCCAGGATGAGTGTAATAGTGAGAATGCTAGTGAAAATGAGAGTGTGATTCCAAGTCCTAAAGAGACTGAGAATACAAGTGATGATTGAGTAAAAGAGTCAAGAGTGAGAATGAGTTGAAATGAAAATGGGTCAGGATGAGTGTAAGAGTGAGAATGCTAGTGATAATGAGAGTGTGAATCCAAGTCATAATGTGAGAATGCAAGTGATGAGTGAGAATGAGTGTCAAAATGAGAATGAGAGTGAGAATGGGCCAGGATGAGTGTAATAGTGAGAATGCTAGTGAAAATGAGAGTGTGATTCCAAGTCCTAAAGAGACTGAGAATACAAGTGATGATTGAGTAAAAGAGTCAAGAGTGAAAATGAGTTAAAATGAGAATGGGTCAGGATGAGTGTAAGACTTAGAATGCTAGTGATAATGAGAGTGTGAATCCAAGTGATAAAGTGAGAATGCAAGTGATAACTGAGAATAAGTGTCAAGAGACAACATGAAAGTGAGAATGAAAGTGGAAATAAAATGAGAAAATGAGATGTAATAAGAGAGTAAGATTGATGGTGATTCAAATGAGAGCTAGTAAATATTCGGCTAAAAGACAGAGAAAGAAAAGTTACTAGGGCAAAGATTGCTGTCATCAATGAAAAAATAGGATTTCATGGCAGTATTTTGCTGATGACAGCTGACTGAGGCAGGGATGACTTGAATTCCATCGATAATCTTAAATAAAAATAAAACAATATGATTCAAGAATGACATTTTTGCCATACAAGTTCTAAATTGTGCATCAAAATACACTGGTCTCATTGAAACTGTTCATAAAACCAATAAACAAACAAAAAGTAAAAAAATGTACAGTGATGCTCATATGGAACTGATCCGTTCAATCCGAGCAGACCTGTACACCGAAAAAATCATACTCCCTGTATCGAGCCAGTCATTCCTGCCGATCGTAAACAGGGCTTTTTAGTGACGTGTTGTGAAGTTTTCCATGCAGGTACAGCGGAATTCGAGTCGATGACGTCACTGGGACGCATGGTGGCCGAGTGCGGAAACAGCATCGAAGACATCGTCCGACAGCGAAAAAAACAAGATCCCCATCTGTGGTATGAGAGGCAGCGCGCCCTGTGATTCATTTTGTGAACGTGAAGGATCGAGTCCGAGGTTCTTCGGAAATAATTTCTAAATTCTCAAGTGAAAATAATTTTCGTGGCAACATTGCACTCTGTAATTTCACAATTTCTTCTAGCTTCTTCAGAAATACATCAAGTGTTTACCAACAAAAATGAATATTTTTGGGTGAGAATATGTATAAGAGTGAGAGACAGAGCAAATGTAAATATGAGAATAGGAGTCAGAGTGCAAATGAGAGTGAGAATACAATGGAAGTGAAAAGGGAATGACAGTAATAAATAATCTTTGAGTGATGATGAGTCATAGCAAAGGTAAAGATGAGTGTGAAAAAAAATGTTATAAGAGTGAGAAATGAGACTGAGAGTGAGAATCAGTGATAAAGAAAGTGAGAATGAGAGTGATGATGAGTAAGAGTAACAGTAAGAATGAGGGTTTCAGTGAAAATATAATTCATAGTCAAAATTTAAGTGATGAGTGAGAGAAAAGATGATTCAGGTTGGTATAAGAATGAGTAATGATGAGACTGAGAGTAAGAATCGATGAGGATGAGAGTGTAAATGAGAATGAGACTGATAATGAGTTGGATAGAGTAAAAATCGATGAGAATGAGAGTATAAATGAAATGGCCGATGAGTGAGTGAGAATTTGACGAAAAAGAGAATGCTTATTGAATTAAGAGTGATAGTGTGACAGTGATAATGAATCAGACTGACATGATGAAAATGATAACTGGAGTATGAATGATTCGATTTTAGGGTTATTTTCTTCTTATTCTTTAGGATTTGTTGAAGATCGTATGTGTTATTCCTGTTGTACAGAAAAATCATAGATAGTGATGACGTGCGAATGAGAGTGTGAACAAGAGTGCGAATGAGAGTGTGAACAAGAGTGTGAATAAGAATGTGAAAGAGTGTGAATAAAATTAATTTTATCATGGGAACAATAATCGATGCAATTTTTCTCGCAACGAAACCATATAAATACCGATGAAAAATCCGAGAACCAGACGGACTCGATCCAAACACCTCTCGACAAGCACCACACCTCTATGGATTAAATACCGTAGAGCCTTTTGGCTGTTCATAGGTTCCTATTTCATAAAGAGTCCGCGGCGTATCGGCAGTACAGGCGGCTAATAGAGCAATTCAAGGCGGAAAAGGAGCCTCCTCAAGGAGATGTAAAACCAAAAGTGGAGAAGGATTTCGAACTGTACGAGCCTGAAATGGCCTTGGATGATACCTACGAGGAGGAGAATAATTACGGGGATGAAAAAGTTCCGGTTAAGTCGGAAGAAGAGGTGAAAATGCAGTACAATAGAATACAAAATCTGATTGTTTCGAGATTATCTGACTTTTTCTGTTTTTCAGGAGGCTGCTGAGAAAAAAAGAATGCGGAAGAGTCGTTGGGGAGGAAAAAAATTCGATATACCCCCACCATCGGTATTGATGTATAATACGGCCGCACCTCAGATTGGCAATCCATCTATTTTGCCTATGACACCACAAATAAGTAAGATGCCTGTAAATGTAACAACCTGTTGTACAGGGTGAACCAAAAGTCGGCACCAACTTACTCATTTTTTTCGCGCGGTTCGACTGGCCATTTAATTTTGAGTTTAGACAGCCTGATTTATGTATACTCATCTTAGTTTTCGAGATATATGTCGATTTTTCTGAAAATAATTATCGGCATAATAGTTTTCAAAAATATTTGTATCTCGCAAAACCCTTCAAAATTACTCCTGATATCAATCGATGTTTTCATTTTGTAACATGGGCGCGGACGATTTTCAAATGTCCTATTGGAAAATTGGCGAAAACTCAAGAAATGCTTTATCTTGCCGAGAGATCTTTTGATTTTTGAAGTACCTGGTCGATTTGCTTATATTCTTAGAATCTGCTCGAGTCCATCTATCTACAAGTTGCTTAACTATCCAGGAATATTCTTCTTTCTGAAGGCATCAAAATCACTAACTTTGATATTATGACTTTGAAATCATAAAAATATTTTAAGCAGGCCCTGATGCGACATTCCATCTTCCATAAAAACATCTAAAAATAAACTTCGAATATATTCTCCATTACCGATCTCTATCCCTCGCTACTCAAAAAATAGTTCATCTTTATTGCTCCGATAAGGATGGTTCATGTCAGTGTAAACAATTTCTTTAGGTCAAAATCAGGCACCAGTACAACTTTCAAAAGTGGGACGTACCGACCCCGGTTTATTGCAGTACGCTATAAACACTTACGGTACCCCGAATTTATCCGAAGAAGATTGGAAGAAAATCGAAGACCACTACAAAATCAACTTGCTCTACCAGGATATGGTGAGAAAAAGAGAAGAAGTGGAGCGATTGCAAATGGCGGGCAAGCATAAATACGAGTACGATTCCGATGAGGACGTAGAAGGGGGTACTTGGGAGCACAAAGCTAGGGATAAGGTGAGAAAAATGTGTAATCGGTGGCTGGTACAACTATTGAAACACCCGCTATTTCATGAAAACATATGGCCAAACAGTGCTGACACTTTCTGTACAATAACAATAATGATTATAATGATCTGTGGCAAATATTAGCACAAGAATTGCTCGAACAGTCACTTTCGAATCATCCTTACATCACCATTACTCATCTTTGTGAATCACTCTCCACAAAAAAACAGAGCAAATCATTGATATTGTGAATAAAAAAAATTGAACTAATGTGCTGAGACACGTGGATCATTCAAATTTTTGAAATGTTTTGAAGATGCATTAACCGTTTTGGAAATCAACCAGTGTCACTCAGCTGTATGCATTCTGTCACTCACCATCTTCTTCTTCCTCCTTTGTCTCTAGCTCGAACACACCTCACAGCCAACCATATGGCCCCACGTTGGGCGCCAAAAAAGTGAATATTGAAAAATATCAATATTTCACATTCTACAGGGTGCCCCTAAAAGGTATGTATAAAATCTTCTTGAGGTCCAAAATTGCTCCGTTTCCGAGATACACGGTGGTGAAGATGAAAAATTGAAATCGACAAGTACACTCCAAGAAAGCATTTTAAAAATCAACCCGTGTCACTCAGCTGTTTGAACTCTGTCATTCACCTTCTTCTTCCTTTGTCTCTAAAGTCTCGAACACACCTCACAGCCAACCATGTAAGACCCACGTTGGGCGCCAAAAAAGTGAATATTGAAAAATATCAATATTTTACATTCTACAGGGTGCCCCTTAAAGGTCTGTATAAAATCGTAGCACATATTCTTGAGGTCAATATAAGCCGATATAAAGCACCTTGGTCCGAAATTGCTCCGTTTCCGAGATACACGGTGGTGAAGATAAAATATTGAAATCGACAAGTACACTCCAAGAAAGCATTTTAAAAATCAACCGGATTCACTCAGCTGTATGAACTCTGTCATTCACCTTCTTTCGATCACACCTCACAGCCAACCATATGTCAGCCCCACGTTGGGCGCCAAAAAACAGAATATTGAAAAATATCTTATTTCACATTCTACAGGGTGCCCCTAAAAGGTCTGTACAAAATCTCAGCACATATTCTTGAGGTCAATATTAGCCGATTTGAAGCACCTTGTTCACCTGTTTCACAGTGATAAAAACCTCAAAATAGGAAAATTCCCAATTTTTTTGCCAACAATATCAAATCATTTCTCCTCCTTTCCTCTAAAGGAAATGATGGCCACCGAGCTGTGGGCCCAAGAACTAAACAGACAGGCCGAAGGAAAACACCACATAGGCGATTTTCTGCCTCCCGACGAACTCAAACGTTTCATGGAAAAATCCACGGCGGTCAAAGAGGGCCGCGAACCTAACCTCTCCGACTACAAAGAATTCAAAATCAAAGAGGACAACGTCGGCTTCCGGATGCTCCAGAAACTGGGATGGTCAGAGGGGGAAGGTTTAGGAAGTGGGGGAATGGGGATCGTCGAGCCTGTCAATAAGTAAGCGGAAACAATAATCATAAATCGTGGAAAATTAATATTTTGTTAATTTGATTGTTACAATCACCTTGTATGAAAAATGAATATTTTGTTACATTGATTATTTGGATCACCTTGTATATTTGCACGAGATACACTCAGCAGTTAATCTACGTGAATGCAGCCAACAGGTTTCACGAAAACACGAAATCCAGTTTCATCAGCGTGAAATCGTATGTCACTTACGGAAAATCTGATTTCGTTTGCGTGATTTGGATTTTGTTTGGTGAAATTGGATTTCGTATGTGTGAAATCGGATTTTGTTTGCGTGAAATCGGGTTTGATTCAAGTGGAACCTTACCTCCCTGTGAAATTACATTTTATTTGCGTGAAATTGATCTCATTTGATCAGTTTATCAGATTCATAAAAAAAAATTCCCATAAAAACAACTTGCGTGAACAGGTTTCACGAAAAAAACGAGATCCAGTTTCATCAGCGTGAAATCGTATGTCACTTACGGAAAATCTGATTTCGTTTGCGTGAAATCGTATGTCACTTATGGAAAATCTGATTTTGTTTGCGTGAATTGGATTTTATTTGGTGAAATCGGATTTCGTTTGCGTGGAATCAGATTTGATTCAAGTAGAACCTTACCTTCCCTGTGAAATTACATTTTATTTGCGTGAAATTGATCTCTTTTGAGTGAAATGTACTTGTATGATTGTAAAGGCAGTTTATCAGATTCATAAAAAAATCTTTTCCCATAAAAACAACTTGCGTGAACAGGTTTCACGAAAAAACGAAATCCAGTTTCATCAGCGTGAAATCGTATGTCACTTACGGAAAATCTGATTTCGTTTGCGTGAAATCGTATGTCACTTACGGAAAATGTGTGAAATCGGATTTTGTTTGCGTGAAATCAGATTTGATCCAAGTGGAACCTCATTCCTTTAATCTCATTTGAGTGAAATGGAACAAGTGGAATGTGGTTGCATTCAAGTGGAATCTGATTCTACCTTTTTCACACGCGTGAAATCTGTTCTCATCCATGTATGCGTGTGTGAAATCTTCATTGAGGAGTGTGAAATCTCTATCTAAGACTGAAATTTCTATTAAAGAGTGTGAAATCTCTATTCGAAGAGTGTGAACTCTTAATTGAAGAGTGTAAAAGCTCGATTGAAGAGTGTGAAACCTTTATTGAAGAGTGTGAAATCACTTTTGAAGAGTGTGAAATCACTATTGAAGAGTGTGAAATTTTATTATTTTGACTCTAATTGCAGGGCACCGCCTAGAGAGAACACCCAAGGGCTGGGTTTGAACTTCAATCAACCGGAAGAAGATGAGGATGAGTACGAATCGTACCGCAAGAGAATGATGCTGGCTTACAGATTCAGACCGAATCCGTTGGTGAGTACTTCGAAATTTTGGATTTGTCTCGCATTTTGCAAACTAATGAAACTTTTTTTTGCAGAATAACCCGCGCAGACCGTACTATTAGAGGAAATTTACCAAAGTGTCATGTCAATAGTTATGTATAATAGTGTAAATAGAATAAAATAATATTAAGTAAGGTCAACTAAACGTTGTTTTTTTTTAATTCGTCAAACGAGGAAAGTGTTTTTCATCAAGGAACCATATTGAGAGGTAAATATACAGAGTGGCAACAAGAAACTTCTGAATTGAATTAAGAAGAATTTCGCTTTCCTTCTACACTTGAAGTGACTCACGAAACAAAATAGCATGAGTGAAATTTCACATACATATTTCTAGCGAAATTGTATCTTGAACCACTCGAAAGTTGTGGCCACCCTGTATGGGGAGAAAAGTTGAAAAAATATGCACAGAATCAACTAGCTCAGTACTTTCTTATTGTTTAATCAATGTACTTACAATTCTTTTGTATTGAATTAAGGGTGAATTTCAAAATATACATCAAAAAAATTCTCTTATTTAACCCTTGATAAAAATAAGATTATTTTCTCAAAAAGTCAGTATAAATGTACAACATCAATTAATTAGTCAAATACGATTAGTCTTATATCACATCAACAACCAAAATCTCGAGTAAATTTTTCGAAAGTAAAAACGCAACTTCTTCAATTTTCCTAAATTTTCCTAAGGTCCAATCTCTCTGATCAAACAAAACTCAATTTGACCGTTCAAAAAATTTCAAATTACATTTACAAAGGCTCATATCGTTTTACGTTTTATTCAATCAGAAAAAAGTCATTGTTTAGAGTAGTACGATCATAGAATACGTACAGGGTGAACTTCTGGAATTCCAAAATTCCGATAATCTCTCATTTTTCAACTAAACCACAAATTCGGTAACAGAAATGAAATAAAGCCTGCAAGTAATGACGAACGATTTTGATAAAAGTCAGTATTTGGGAAATAATTTTCCACATGTTGCCTTGTATTCAGTTATGGAATTGAATTATTTGCTAGTTTAGCAATTGGCAACATAGTCAATGTCCAGAATTTGAGAAGATCACCCTGTACAGGGTGGAGACAGCCGTCTTATTATCCTATGCCGTTCACCTAGTGGCAGAAAGAAAGAAGGCGTGGCTGCCTCCGAAGGGCGGTCGCCAACGTTACGCGCCCGCCAATCACTGCCACAAGTCGGTCAAGGTCGCCGGTGAAGGACCGCCCACCGTAACCGGTAGAGAGAAAGTAGGCGTGGCTTCCTCTGCAGGGCGGTCGTTAACGGAACGCGCGTCAACCAATGCCACAGGTGGCCGGTAGAATATCGCCCACCGTGAGCGATAAAGTAGGCGTGGCCTCCTTCGAGGGGCGGGGGCAGCTATTGAAACGCGCGCGTCAATCACTGCCACAAGTCGATGAAAGACCGCCCACCGCAACCGGCAGAGAGAAAGTAGGCGTGGCTTTCCCCGCAGGGCGGTCGTTAACGGAAGGCGTGTCAATCAATGCCACTGGTAGAATATCGCCCACCGTGAGTGGTAGAGAGATGAAGTAGGCGTGGCTTCCTCCTAGGGGCGGGGCAACTATCGAAACGCCCACCGTAACAGCAGCGCGTGGCGGTAGGAGGAAGAGCGGGTAGGCGTGGCTTCCTCTATGGGGCGGTGGCTAGCGGAACGCTGGCCAATCGGATCACTGCCACAGGCCGGCGTAGTTGCCGGTCAAGGTGGCCGGTAGAGGACCGCCTGCCGTGAACAGCCGAGTGCCGCTGGCATCGTAGCAGTGCGTATAGATGGCGGGCACGTATTTGATGTTGATGTTGTCGACGTATTCTTCGTCGGGGTACTGACACGAAACGTCAAAAATCATTTTTTTATAATAAATAATGAATTTGTTAGTTTAGACTATAAAATTTTTTGTTAATTGCACTTACCACATATCCTTTGCTAGCTTTAAGTACGACCGTTCTGGAGGAATTTATGCTGGATTCGAGGTACTTGCCGGCTTTGAGATCGTAAAACATTAGCATGCCCAGTCCCGTGCCTACTGTCAAAACGTCACCTTGGAAACTGGCCGATCGTATTCCGCAACCGGAATATCTGGACGAGACTTTTTTCACCGCCTACAAAAATATACAAGATTCAAAATATCAATAACATCACACCGTCTCTTTATCTCATCATATATCTCTATTACAATATTTCAAATATTTCAGTCACATGTTCCTATTTATCATAGAACTCCTTGCCTCTATCACAAAATGATTGTTTTGTCTCACACCCTATGTGTGTTTCACACTATAATGTCTATATCTCACCCTCTGCATATCTCAAAATACCTACCATTCATCTTTCACTGTATGTCCTTGTATATTTCTATTTCTCACTTAGTGTAAAAATCGCAAAAATCGCAAAAATTGCTGAAAATTGCAAAATCGCAAAAATTCATGAAAATTGTAAAAATTCCTGAAAATTGCAAAAATCGCAAAAATTCCTGAAAATTGCAAAAATTCCTGAAAATTTCAAAAATCGCAAAAAATCCTGAAAATTGCAAAAATCGCAAAAATTCCTGAAAATTGCAAAAAATTGCAAAAATTGCAAAAATTCCTGAAAGTTGCAAAAATTCCTGAAAATTTAAAAAATCGCAAAAATTCCTGAAAATTGCAAAACTCGCAAAAATTCCTGAAAATTGCAGAAATTGAAAAAATTGCAAAAATTACTGAAAATTGCAAATATGCCTGAAAATTGCAAAAATTCCTGAAAATTGCAAAAATTGAAAAAATTCCTAAAAATTGAAAAAATCGCAAAAATTCCTAAAAATTGCAAAAATTGCAAAAATTCCTGGAAATTGCAAAAATCGCAAAAAATGCCTGAAATTTGCAAAAATTGCAAAAATTCCTGAAAATTCCAAAAATTGCAAAAATTCCTGAAAATTTCAAAAATCGCAAAAAATTCCTGAAAATTTCAAAAATCGCAAAAATTCCTGAAAATTGCAAATATGCCTGAAAATTGCAAAAATCGCAAAAATGCCTGAAAATTGAAAAAATCACAAAAATGCCTGAAAATTGCAAAAATTCCTGAAAATTGCAAAAATTCCTGAAAATTGCAAAAATTCCTGAAAATTTGAAAAATCGCAAAAATTCCTGAAAATTGCAAAAATCGCAATAATTCCTGAAAATTGCAAAAATTCCTGGAAATTGCAAAAATTCCTGAAAATTGCAAAAATTCCTGAAAATTGCAAAAATTCCTGAAAATGTCAAAAATCGAAAAAATTCCTGAAAATTGCAAAAATCGCAAAAATGACTGAAAATTGCAAAAATTGAAAAAATTCCTGAAAATTTCAAAAATTCGCAAAAATTCCTGAAAATTTCAAATATCGCAAAAATTCCTGAAAATTGCAAAAATTGCAAAAATTCCTGAAAATTGCAAAAATTGCAAAAATCGCAAAAATGCCTGAAAATTGCAAAAATTCCTGAAAATTGAAAAAATTGCAAAAATTCCTGAAAATTGCAAAAATGCCTGAAAATTGCAAAAATCGCAAAAATTCCTAATAATTGCAAAAATTGCAAAAATTCATGAAAATTGCCAAAATCGCAAAAATGCCTGAAAATTGAAAAAATCGCAAAAATGCCTGAAAATTGCAAGAATTCCTGAAAATTGCAAAAATTCCTGAAAATTGCAAAAATCGAAAAAATTCCTGAAAATTGCAAAAATCGCAAAAATGACTGAAAATTGCAAAAATTCCTGAAAATTGCAAAAATTGCAAAAATTCCTGAAAATTTCAAAAATCGCAAAAATTCCTGAAAATTTCAAAAATCGCAAAAATTTCTGAAAATTGCAAAAATCGCAAAAATTCTCTGAAAATTACAAAAATCGCAAAAATTCCTGAAAATTACAAAATCGCAAAATTCTGAAATTCAAAATTGCAAAAATTCCTGAAAATTTCAAAAATCGCAAAAATTCCTGAGAATTGCAAAAATCGCAAAAATGCCTGAAAATTGCAAAAATAGCAAAAATTGCAAAAATTCCTGAAAATTGAAAAAATTGCAAAAATTCCTGAAAATTCCAAAAAATGCCTGAAAATTGCGAAAATCGCAAAAATTCCTAAAAATTGCAAAAACTCATGAAAATTGTAAAAAATTGCAAAAATCGCAAAAATTCCTGAAAATTGCAAAAATCGCAAAAATGCCTGAAAATTGCAGAAATTGCGAAAATTGCAAAAATTCCTGAAAATTGCAAAAATGCCTGAAAATTGCAAAAATCGCAAAAATTCCTAAAAATTGCAAAAATTGCAAAAATCGCAAAAACTCGTGAAAATTGCAAAAATCGCAAAAATGCCTGAAAATTGCAAAAATAGCAAAAATTGCAAAAAATTCCTGAAAATTGCAAAAATTTCAAAAATTCCTGAAAATTGCAAAAATTCCTGAAAATTGCAAAAATTGCAAAAATTCCTGAAAATTGCAAAAATCGCAAAAATGCCTGAAAATTGCAAAAACAGCAAAAATTGCAAAAAATTCCTGAAAATTGCAAAAATTTCCAAAATTCCTGAAATTTGCAAAAATTACTGAAAATTGCAAAAAACGCAAAAATTCCTGAAAATTGCAAAAATCGCAAAAAATGCCATGAAAATTGCAAAAATTGCAGAAATTCCTGAAAATTGCAAAAATTGCAAAAATGGCCTGAAAATTCGCAAAAATCGCAAACTGACTGAAAATTGCAAAAAATCGCAAAAATTACTGAAAATTGCAAAAAATCGCAAAAATACTGAAAATTGCAAAAATCGCAAAAATTCCTGAAAAATTACAAAAATCGCAAAAATCGATTCCTGAAAATTGCAAAAATTGCAAAAATTCCTGAAAATTGCAAAAAATCGCAAAAATGCCTGAAAATTGCAAAAATAGCAAATATTGCAAAAATTCCTGAAAATTGAAAAAATTGCAAAAATTCCTGAAAATTGCAAAAATGCCTGAAAATTGCAAAAATTGAAAAAATTCCTGAAAATTTCAAAAATCGCAAAAATTCCTGAAAATTTCAAAAATCGCAAAAATTCCTGAAAATTGCAAAAATTGCAAAAATTCCTGAAAATTTCAAAAATCGCAAAAATTCCTGAAAATTTCAAAAATCGCAAAAATTTCTGAAAATTGCAAAAATTCCTGAAAATTTCAAAAATCGCAAAAATTCCTGAGAATTGCAAAAATCGCAAAAATGCCTGAAAATTGCAAAAATAGCAAAAATTCCTGAAAATTGAAAAAATTGCAAAAATTCCTGAAAATTGCAAAAATGCCTGAAATTTGCGAAAATCGCAAAAAATTCCTAAAAATCGCAAAAACTCATGAAAATTGTAAAAATTGCAAAAATCGCAAAAATTCCTGAAAATTGCAAAAATCGCAAAAATGCCTGAAAATTGCAGAAATTGCGAAAATTGCAAAAATTCCTGAAAATTGCAAAAATGCCTGAAAATTGCAAAAATCGCAAAAATTCCTAAAAATTGCAAAAATCGCAAAAACTCATGAAAATTGTAAAAATTGCAAAAATCGCAAAAATGCCTGAAAATTGCAAAAATAGCAAAAATTGCAAAAATTCCTGAAAATTTGAAAAATCGCAAAAATTCCTGAAAATTGCAAAAATCGCAAAAATGCCTGAAAATTGCAAGAATTCCTGAAAATTGCAAAAATTCCTGAAAATTGCAAAAATTCCTGAAAATTGCAAAAATTCCTGAAAATGTCAAAAATCGAAAAAAATCCTTTAAATTGCAAAAATCGCAAAAATGACTGAAAATTGCAAAAATTCCTGAAAATTGCAAAAATAGAAAAAAATTCCTGAAAATTTCTAAAATCGCAAAAATTCCTGAAAATTGCAAAAATTTCTGAAAATTGCAAAAATCGCAAAAATGCCTGAAATTTGCAAAAATTGCAAAAATTCCTGAAAATTGCAAAAATCGCAAAAATTCCTGAAAATTCCAAAAATTGCAAAAATTCCTGATAATTTGAAAAATCGCAAAAATTCCTGAAAATTGCAAAAATTCCTGAAAATTGCAAATATCGCAAAAATTCCTGAAAATTGCAAATATCGCAAAAATGCCTGAAAATTGCAGAAATTGAAAAAATTGTAAAAATTACTGAAAATTGCAAAATATGCCTGAAAATTGCAAAAATCGCAAAAATGCCTGAAAATTGCAAAAAATTGCAAAAATTCCTGAAAATTGCAAAAATCGCAAAAATTCCTGAAAATTTCAAAAATCGCAAAAATTCCTGAAAATTGCAAAAATCGCAATAATTTCTGAAAATCGCAAAAATTCCTGAAAATTGCAAAAATTCCTGAAAATTTGAAAAATCGTAAAAATTCCTGAAAATTGCGAAAATCGCAATAATTCCTGAAAATTGCAAAAATTCCTGAAAATTGCAAAAATTCCTGAAAATTTGAAAAATCGTAAAAATTCCTGAAAATTGCGAAAATCGCAATAATTCCTGAAAATTGCAAAAATTGTTAAAATTCCTGAAAATTGCAAAAAATTCTTGAAAATTTCGAAAATCGCAAAAATTTCTGAAAATTGCAAAAATTGCAAAAATTCCTGAAAATTTGAAAAATCGCAAAAATTCCTGAAAATTGCAAAAATCGCAATAATTCCTGAAAATTGCAAAAATTGTAAAAATTCCTGAAAATTGCAAAAATCGCAAAAATTGCAAAAATTCCTGAAAATTGCAAAAATCGCGAAAATTCCTGAAAATTGCAAAAATTGCAAAAATCGCAAAAATTCATGAAAATTGAAAAAATTGCAAAAATCGAAAAAAAATCCTGAAATTGCAAAAATCGCAAAAATTCCTGAAAATTGCAAAAATCGCAAAAATGCCTGAAAATTGCAAACAGCAAAAATTGCAAAAATTCCTGAAAATTTGAAAAATCGTCAAATGTCAAAAATCGAAAAAAATCCTTTAAATTGCAAAAATCGCAAAAATGACTGAAAATTGCAAAAATTCCTGAAAATTGCAAAAATTGAAAAAATTCCTGAAAATTTAAAAAATCGCAAAAATTCCTGAAAATTGCAAAAATTTCTGAAAATTGCAAAAATCGCAAAAATGCCTGAAATTTGCAAAAATTGCAAAAATTCCTGAAAATTGCAAAAATCGCAAAAATTCCTGAAAATTCCAAAAATTGCAAAAATTCCTGATAATTTGAAAAATCGCAAAAATTCCTGAAAATTGCAAAAATTCCTGAAAATTGCAAAAATCGCAAAAATTCCTGAAAATTGCAAATATCGCAAAAATGCCTGAAAATTGCAGAAATTGAAAAAATTGCAAAAATTACTGAAAATTGCAAATATGCCTGAAAATTGCAAAAATCGCAAAAATGCCTGAAAATTGCAAAAATTGCAAAAATTCCTGAAAATTGCAAAAATCGCAAAAATTCCTGAAAATTTCAAAAATCGCAAAAATTCCTGAAAATTGCAAAAATCGCAATAATTTCTGAAAATCGCAAAAATTCCTGAAAATTGCAAAAATTCCTGAAAATTTGAAAAATCGTAAAAATTCCTGAAAATTGCGAAAATCGCAATAATTCCTGAAAATTGCAAAAATTGTTAAAATTCCTGAAAATTGCAAAAATTCCTGAAAATTTCGAAAATCGCAAAAATTTCTGAAAATTGCAAAAATTGCAAAAATTCCTGAAAATTTGAAAAATCGCAAAAATTCCTGAAAATTGCAAAAATCGCAATAATTCCTGAAAATTGCAAAAATTGTAAAAATTCCTGAAAATTGCAAAAATCGCAAAAATTGCAAAAATTCCTGAAAATTTCGAAAATCGCAAAAATTCCTGAAAATTGCAAAAATTCCTGAAAATTGCAAAAATCGCAAAAATGCCTGAAAATTGCAAATAGCAAAAATTGCAAAAATTCCTGAAAATTTGAAAAATCGCAAAAATTCCTGAAAATTGCAAAAATCGCAAAAATGCCTGAAAATTGCAAGAATTCCTGAAAATTGCAAAAATTCCTGAAAATTGCAAAAATTCCTGAAAATTGCAAAAATTCCTGAAAATGTCAAAAATCGAAAAAATTCCTGAAAATTGCAAAAATCGCAAAAATGACTGAAAATTGCAAAAATTCCTGAAAATTGCAAAAATTGAAAAAATTCCTGAAAATTTCAAAAATCGCAAAAATTCCTGAAAATTGCAAAAATTCCTGAAAATTGCAAAAATCGCAAAAATTCCTGAAAATTGCAAAAATCGCAAAAATGCCTGAAATTTGCAAAAATTGCAAAAATTCCTGAAAATTGCAAAAATCGCAAAAATTCCTGAAAATTCCAAAAATTGCAAAAATTCCTGAAAATTTCAAAAATCGCAAAAATTCCTGAAAATTGCAAAAATTCCTGAAAATTGCAAAAATCGCAAAAATTCCTGAAAATTGCAAATATCGCAAAAATGCCTGAAAATTGCAGAAATTGAAAAAATTGCAAAAATTACTGAAAATTGCAAATATGCCTGAAAATTGCAAAAATCGCAAAAATGCCTGAAAATTGCAAAAATTCCTGAAAATTGCAAAAATTGCAAAAATTCCTGAAAATTGCAAAAATCGCAAAAATTCCTGAAAATTTCAAAAATCGCAAAAATTCCTGAAAATTGCAAAAATCGCAATAATTTCTGAAAATTGCAAAAATTCCTGAAAATTGCAAAAATTGCAAAAATTCCTGAAAATTTGAAAAATCGCAAAAATTCCTGAAAATTGCAAAAATCGCAATAATTCCTGAAAATTGCAAAAATTGTAAAAATTCCTGAAAATTGCAAAAATTCCTGAAAATTTCGAAAATCGCAAAAATTCCTGAAAATTGCAAAAATTGCAAAAATTCCTGAAAATTTGAAAAATCGCAAAAATTCCTGAAAATTGCAAAAATCGCAATAATTCCTGAAAATTGCAAAAATTGTAAAAATTCCTGAAAATTGCAAAAATCGCAAAAATTGCAAAAATTCCTGAAAATTGCAAAAATTCCTGAAAATTTCGAAAATCGCAAAAATTCCTGAAAATTGCAAAAATTCCTGAAAATTGCCAAAATCGCAAAAATGCCTGAAAATTGCAAAAATTACAAAAATTCCTCACTCACTTTGTATCTATATATCAGTATCTTACTTTATATCACACTATCTAACTCTAGTTATAACTCTTTGACTCATATCTCACTATCTGGCCATATATTTATCTCATTATCTCCTTATATCATACTATATGAGTCTATCACACATTTTCTCTGTCTGTATATTATCTGTTGATATATGATATCTCAGTAACCTTTGATCTATTTATCACTGTATCTGTATGTGTCTGTATTGAACATATAGTGAGTGCATACTTTTCCTTTTGTTGACTTGTCTAAACAAATTGTGTGTATTGTTTTTTCAGTGTACATAAAATATTGCCATCTTTGTCTCCTAATTCTCTCTCTCAAATATTTTTCTCTATCTCTCAATTATTTCCATCTGTACTAACCTGTAAAGTTCTACAATCCAGTAAAAGGGTATAGGACCTGCAGCCAATGGCATACAACCCTGAGTCCTGCACTGCCAAACATACATTTTCCTGTGCTGAAGGCAATTTTCTAGATAGCTTTTGTTTGAATGTTTCTGCACTCCAAATATGGATGTAGCCATTCAGACTGAGTGCTGCAATCTCATCATAGCTCTTATTGAATGTTATTGCACGCACCTAAAAACAAACAATCACCTCACTTTTGGACACAAAGAGTATATTTTTTCAGAGCAAACCTTTTGTGCCCCACGACAATCTTTGAGAGATATGGGTTGAATATGCTTGTGAGTGGGAATCTCATCTTTGCTCTCTAACATGTCAGGTGTTATCCTCCACAGAGCCATTTTTGTGTCTCTGGAACCACTCACCAAGAATTCATCATCCAACCAGCACATATCAAACACCTGAAACAACAACCAATGACAATGTGAACACTAGAATTTCATCATTGTTGCACTGACCCAGTCTTTGTGGGCATTTTCACCAACACAGACAGGGTCTAGAGTGGGCAGCCTGTAGACTGCTATATCACAAGTATTTCTGGCCCCTGTGGCCAAAAGAGTCCTAGATGGGTTGATTTGCACTGAATGGATGCCACACTGTTGAGGGGGCTGAGGGTCACTGCCCATCATGTCCCTTTTGCTCAACAAAGAAGGGATTTGGTCTATTTTGTGGGTCATTACATCATATACCATCAACTGTAATGAATTTTTGATGATTATTCCAACTGGACTCTACTTTGATGTGATCTATTTACCTTGTTACACTTGGTTCCAAACACTACTTGTCTATCACTCAACCACTGTGAACAAAACACTTTATTCATATGGGGTAAATTGACAGGAGTTTCTTTGAACATTTCATGTGTTAAAATGTGCCGATTTCCATAGTCATTTGCCACAGATGAATAATTAGTGTACCCCAACTCCCTGTTTCTAACATAATCAACAAAACTGTAGGAGGTGGTCAGTATTTCATTTTGAACTGATAAGGGTTCTTCATCACTATCACTGTCATCATATGTTATGAAATCTTCTGGTTTGTCCGTTTTTCTGCTCAGCTCCAGTTTCATTGCTTTTATTCTAACGATACGTTCCTCCAGTCTGTGGCTTAAAGAGCAGGAAGGTATATCTCCAAAAACGGGTCTCATACGTGTTTTGGACATCTTCAGAAGGTACCTAGTATATGATTTTTCTTTCCTGCCTTAACTAACCAGACTTGACTTGAAACTGTGAACACAGTGTATATGCAACAATCATATACATCTTTGGAACTTTTTTTGTCATGATATTTGCATTTTTTATTCAATATTTCCTACAAATGATCAGAAAATCTAATGAGATTGGAATAATTGTATTGACAAAATATGGAATAATGACGTACTTCATACTTGTTATTGTCATTGTCATTTTCTCGCAAATGACAAGTATGACTTATGAAGTTACTAATATGACATGATAGGCCTGTTCGTTTGTATTGCTAAACTGGCTAAAGTTGATCTTTTCCCATAGTTGTCTCTGTTCATGCCATGATGTAAACAAAGAAAGTCATAGAAAAAAATCAAGTTTAGCAGGTTGAGCAAGCACAAACGAACAGGCCTGATATATGGCCAGTGTTGTTCTTGTCATTACTTTTGATATAAATCTATTACTATTTCACGAAAGCTGTTACGTTATTACGATTTGTCATGGATCTATTACTATTTGCTGTTAGCTCCATAATATGATGTTTGATCTATTTCTGTGTGCAGCGAATGATTATGTTCTGCTCTATGAGTTCACATGAATTCTGTGTTACTTTTGTTTTTTTTTCATGTTAGTTCGACGAGAATTACATTTCGAATGTCAAATGTCGGACTTTTTCAATCTATTACCTTTTGCTTCAAATCTCTTACCTTTTTCCAAGGAAATCTGGTACAAAAAAATTAGACATACGAACAACACTGTATATGGCACATTAATAAAGAAGAAGAAAGATGAAATGTCATAACATAACCTGAAATCCTGAAATTTGTTGATTTGTGATTTGTTGGATGATTTTAAATTAAAGAATGTAATTAAATTAGGAAATTTAATTGATTTTCGATTTTTGTGTGTAGTCTCTCATTCACAGTATTTCAGGTCCATCAGTGAGTATAAAACCATATCTTGAAACATTATTATTATTATTATTATTATGATTATTTTTATTATTATGCATTATTTCATCACTTAAAAGATTATCTTCAATTCAAAGTTCACTTCACAAAGTGTTTGTTCTGTCTCTCTGTCTAAAATTGAAAAAACTCTGTTAATCATCTCAGAATCCCACAAACATGTCTTCTAAGAAGAGAGGAAATGAAAAATTGTCCTGGAACAAGACTTATGGTGAAATAAAAGCTAAGCATAATGATGCCTTCATCTCCATAGATCAAGCTATCACCTTAGAAGAACGGGAAAAACCCAATGAGGTATAAAAAATCAAATAATCATGACAAAACCACTCTCCCTATAACCAAATTCCAGGCAATAGAGAAGTACAAAGAAGGCATCAGACTGATAGATGAAGCACTGAGCATTCCAGTCCAGTGTCCTGATAATCCAGACATAACCTGGGAGAAAGCTTGTTTGATGATCCAAAAAATCAAAAAAACTAGAGCAGAAGTCCTAACTAGAATCCATTCTATTCAAGGTACTCACAGCTCTAATGCTGCTGCCTCTCTGGAACACCCTCCATCCTATGAGGAGGCAACTTCTTCAGCTGAGGACTCAGTCGAAGAATTTCCCAGGACCTACAAAGACCTGGCAACTGCTCTCAATGAGTTGAGCATTGATCCTAACCAAAATTTGCATGAAGAAATCATTTATTCCCATGATGGGGTTAGGTTAGTACTGGTACTGAGCTAATTATGCATGAAAAAAACATTCATTTCTACTTTTTGTTAGGTTGTATTTTATATCCTCAAATGGTGAGGTGGTTTCTACAAGGGAGCCTGAGAATTTGATGATTTATTTGGTGGAGGAGAGGGAGCCAAATACCCCCAAAGCTGTCTTGAAAATTGGGTCTTGGGTGTACCCTTTAGTACCTGGGGTGTCTCCCTGTTATAGAACCAATTATGGGGCTTTCATATTACCTGATTTGCATGCTACCTTACCAGGTAAAGAAGAATTAGTGATATTCTTCATTTTCTATGAAATGTTAATAAAGAACCTATTTATTCAACTTGAATTTGTATTAATTTAGAACTATAGTAATTCTGATCACTGAAGAATTAATTCCATTCTACACTGCCTAACAAATGAATACATGAAGCATTGCAATTGTTTCACTATAATGACATCATGAACTTTTCAATTTTATTATACACTGCCCAACATAATTAACTGTGCAGCATTGATTGTATTGTACTAATTCACATTACTCTTCATCATGAATACATCTGGTATTTGTAGCAGTTTATTCATGAATTATTAATTTCATTATACACTGCTGGACATGATAATTACTCCTGCAGCATTTAGTGTTCCACGGAATTTTAGTTACAGAAAAAAAATTAATTTTCATCAAGTCTAGTTTTCATTACTCATAAACCAAATAATAAAAAATTAATGCAGTTTTGATCAAGAAGAATTCATTCTATTATACACTGCCCAGCATAACTAACTGTGCAGCATTGATTGTTTTGTACTAATTCACATTACTCTTCATCATGAATACATATCTGGTATTTGTAACAGTTTATTCATGAATTATTAATTTCATTATACACTGCTGGACATGATAATTACTCCTGCAGCATTTACTGTTACACGGAATTTTAGTTACAGGAAAAAAATTAATTTTCATCAAGTCTAGTTTTCATTACTCATAAACCAAATAATAAAAATTAATGCAGTTTTGATCAAGAAGAATTCATTCTATTATACACTGCCCAGCATAACTAACTGTGCAGCATTGATTGTATTGTACTAATTCACATTACTCTTCATCATGAATACATATCTGGTATTTGTAGCAGTTTATTCATGAATTATTAATTTCATTATACACTGCTGGACATGATAATTACTCCTGCAGCATTTAGTGTTCCACGGAATTTTAGTGACAGGTAAAAATTCAATTTTCATCAAGGCTAGTTTTCATTACTATACAGGGTGGGCCACCAGTAACGCCTCGGTCTCTAGAAGGCTAACCACTTATCTTCTTGGAATTCTTCCTCTCTAGGAAGTTGCATGTCAACATTAGCTACCATTTGAAATTATTTTGAAACATACAGGGATGTCCCCAAAAATCACAAAACACTAAAGTTGAACTTTTTTCAATCGAACACCCTATATATTATTTCATTTTGAGATTCTCCCTGGTGAGCTGATTTCAACAATCCATCATACTTGGGGTCTAGCAGTTATAATTACTGAGATATAGGGTGTGAGAAATCGAGATTTTCCAAGTTCAAGAATTTTTTGTGTCTAAACCATTCATAATTGGTCAAAACGGCTCACATGTCCCTATCTCAACTTTTGATCAACTATCTACTGACATTTAATTGAAACAAATACAGGGTGGTGTAGAATTCAGAATCTTGATCACCCGGTATATGTCCCAATCAAATATCAGTAGATAGTTAATCAAAAGTTGAGATAGGGACATGTAAGCCGTTTTGACCAATTATGAATAGTTTCGACACAAAAAATTCTTGAAGTTGGAAAATTTCGATTTTTCACACCCTATATTTCAGTAATTATAACTGCTATAGACCCCAAGTATGATGGGTCGTTGAAATCAGCTCATCAGGGACAATCTCAAAATGAAATAATATATAGGGTGTTCGATAGAAAAAAGTTTAACTTCAGTGTTTTATGGTTTTTGGGGACACCCTGTATGTTTCGAAATAATTTTAAATGGTAGCCTATGTTGACATGAAACTTCCTAGAGAGGAAGAATTCCAAGAAGATAAGTGGTTAGCCTTCTAGAGACCGAGGCGTTACTGGTGGCCCACCCTGTATACCAAATGAAAAAAATTAATGCAGTTCTGATCATGAAGAATTCATTCTATTATACACTGCCCGACAATATTAGACATGCAACATCAAGAGCTTGAAATAGTCCTTCATTGATGACTAGAAATTGTGAAAGACTTCCTTTAATGAGTGTAATGATGTGAACTCTCATTTAAATTTTGAAAAGGTTATTGAGAAAATGTCAATGGGATGAGATTTTTTTGCTAGGTTCTTCTGTTGGCATCATCTTGCCTTCTGATGCTGATGACGAAGTTTTTGACCTTCTGGAGAATATCCTACATGGTATCATAAGTACACCAACTGGAGAAGCAGTTCATGAATGGAGAAAACGTAGAGAGGAAGAAAAACTAGATGATTACAGTACCAAAATTTCAAATACTCTGATAAATGGTTGGTTCAACTTTTATGAAGATCTATTATATCATTATTTCCCTCTGTGACTATTTTTTTAAGGGGCTTGGTCCATTTCCCAAGGTCTTATCAGAGGTGCTGAAAAGGCAGGCGAATTTTTCAATAACACCACGCCGAAAATTATAAACAACATGCAGAGTTCAGAAAGACCGGCAGAAATTCCACCCAAGTTGTCAAAAAGTATGGAATTTGCCGGTAATGCAACGCAAAGAGCTGCTCAAGTCACTGGATTTGTAGGTGAATATTGGTGATAAGATATTTTGCAGTGAATTTCCCCATAAATTATTTTTATTCTTTCCCCTTTTTTGCACCTATTAGCAAAGATATCAGCTGAAGAAGTTGAAACATTTGACCAGATCATTGGAAAGGGTGTCATTAAGTTTTTTCTGATGTTAGATATTTGAGATCGATGATATAGGTAGTTAATTAAAAACCATTTTATGTTCCATGAAGAAGCAATAGAATTTCACTTCCGATTTTACCGGAAATTGACTTGAGTCATTAATTTTGAATGGAACACTGTTTATATATAGGGCGTGTTTTTCATTCCATCGAAGAAAGTGCGCACTGATAGATGCGGTTTTTTGTCGTGACGTCACCAATTGTTCTGTTGGAATTTATGCTGGAAGGATTGAACAATGATTTATACAACACATTGATGGAAACACGGATTTTGTTGTGTGTCAGTAATCATGTATCTTGAGAATCAGAAGAGGCTAATTCGATTTTATTGATTAACACTGACTCTTTCTTCTAAAATCTCTCGAGAATCTCAAAAATCCTCAATATTAATTGTTTTCTATCAAATCAAAACAAAAATCATTACTTAAATGTGTCAACTGTCATGTCAATCTCCTCCAAACTGATGGATTCTCGAAAAGCGATTTAAAAGTGCGCATTTTATTACAACAGTTTGATGGATATCCATCAACATTCCAGCGGAATTTTGCAACAGTTTGATGGTTTCTTCGATTCATGCGCATGACAAAATGTTGGAATGAAAAACACGCCCATTCCTTTACACCATTCAATAAAGCAAGAAAAACCCTTCTCAATGACATATCACAAGTGGACATTTGTTTCTAAAATAGCGCAGTAGATATTTTGTCTGAAAATCAATATGGCGACACTATGACGTCATAGATCGAATTTTTGACCGAGGAATCATAATCTCCGACCCCGAAAACCCCCAGATACCAATTTTAAAAAGAATTGGATCATAATTAATAAACTCGTATGCCGTATTGGATCTGCCATCTTGAATTTCCAAAATTTGACGAAAGAATCATAATCTCCGAACCCGGAAACCCCCAGATACCAATTTTGAACAGAATCGGATCATAATTACAGAATTCGTTCGCCATATTGGATCCGCCATCTTGAATTTTTCAATTTCGATGAAAGAATCATAATCTCCGACCCCGAAAATCCTTAGACACCAATTTTGAGAATAATCGGATCATAATTACAAAAGTCGTCCGCCATATTGGATCTGCCATATTGGATCCGCCATCTCGAATTTTCAAATTTTGATAAACGATTCATAATCTCCGACCCCAAAAACCCCCAGATACCAATTTTGAACAGGGTTGGGCTGATTTAAATCAATTGATTTAAATCAAGATAAAAATCATGATTTAAATCAAGTGCTTTTTTTTTAAATCACAATTTAAATCAAAATAATAATTTCGAAAACATTTATTATTTATTTGAATAATAAAAAATATTAAACTGAAATAAAATAGTAAAACCCCTAAAAAAACTGGATATTGAAACATATACATATACAGGCTACAGGAATTTTCTTGTACAGACATGTCGGTCGACCCACATCGTCCTACTGAGAATGGCTTTCTTTGTGAATTATGTTTTGTTATACTCAAATTCATGAAATACACAAAATTAAAATAGTTTTGAGTTAAAAAATGGACATGAATGTTGACAGGTACCTATATTTATCGCGCATTAAGACCAAAATCAAAAAAATCCAAAAAATCCAAAAAATCATGATTTTTTTATTTAAATCAATGATTTTTGATTTTTTTAAAGAAATCAAGATTTGCCCAACCCTGATTTTGAATAGAATCGGAACATAATTACAAAACTCGTCCGCAATATTGGATCCGCCATCTTGAATTTTCCAAGTTTGGCAAAAGAATCATAACGTCCGATCCCAAAAACCCCCAGATACCAATTTTGAATAGAATCGGATTGAAATTACAAAATTCGTCCGCCATGTGTTGGAACCGCCATCTTGAGTTTCTTAATTTTTCATAGGAACCTTCTCCTGACAATGAATACAACCAAAAAATAAATAGCAAAATCGGCCAAGACGTCAACATTCTATAAAGGACATACAAACATTCATTTAAATATATAAAGATTAAAACATTATTGAAGTTATTTATTCATATTGGTAAGAAAAATGTCTCCCTCATCTGTCCTTATCTTCAGTGTTCCAACGTAAAATGATGGAAATTTAATGTGAGTAACATTGGAAATGCGAAAAAATGGGGAAGATCATATTAACCTCAATATTAAGAAGGTTAGAATGGTCTTCTCCAGTTCTTTTCATTTCCAGTGTTGCCAACATTAAAGTTTATCGGTACATAATGACCCATACTTCGAATTTCATTTGAAAAAGTACCATTTCCTATTCAAAATTTTCGAGATATTTCAAGAGAGAGAATATCATTTGAAAGCATTACTAAAATAAATCCTGATTAGCGACGGATCAAAATTTTCACAGGTTGTATCAAAAACCCAGCGAGCACAAACATCCCTGGGATGTTTTGGGATGTTTTGAAAATGTTGGCATGAAGATGTTATTTTGAGACGTAATATGCACTGACCAAAGAGGTCTTTGAAGGATATTGAAGTATTGTTTTTGTTCTTCTGTGGCATTTCTTTGTTTGCCTACTGAGAGGTATCCCTGGGATGTTTTGGGATGTTTTAGAAATGTAGGCATGAGGATGTTTTTTTGAGGCGTAATATGCACTTCCCAAAGAGGTCTTAGAAGGATATTGAAAGTATTGTTTTTGTTCTCTTGTGCCCTTTCTTTGTTTGCCCCACCACAACGTCTCATGCTTACGTCACAATACGATGAATTCTGATTTGTTTCCGATTTTGTTCTTCTTGTTCGCAATTGGCATTCGCGTTTGCAGCGTGTCACGCTTAGGTACATCACGCTGCTAACGAACAGAAAGGAATTTGGTGAAGTTTATTGTGTTTGAAGACTTATTTAGTTTGTAATAATGACCATCAGATGCAAGATGTGTTGTTCGGTGCCTCAGTGTAATCGATATATAAAAGTACGAATTCATCAATACACAGCTTCTCCGCAGTTGCCAAATTATGCATTGTGGAGAACATTTCAAAAATTGGGAAACCTATTTCCAATTATATGTCTGTGTGTAGTAAGGACTACTCAGAAACCGATTAAGAAGGTAATTTCATATCAAGAAAATATTTTTATGTTAAATCTATTTTTAATGCATTTTTTCATTCAAGGGAAATGGAATCCTAATGCAAAAGTTCATTTTGACAAAAGGCTTCAGAAAAGTACCTCGAAAATGTTTTTTTTTACACCGATTTAATGTGCGCAAGCCGCGTTGAAAATGTTCTGTTGTGTCCATGAAAAGGCTTTAAAAAGAACTAGGGAGAAGGTAGTTTTGTAACATATCAAGGACATCTCGATAATTGCCGCCTGCAACGGACATTGGCTGTTCTATAATAGTTCTATTCATGTGTGAACAGAACATCGCAGTGGAGGTTCAATGTCTCGAAATCTCGTACTTTTAACATCTCTGAGATGCTTTCGTGCTCGCTGGGAACTTATCAACGTGCTTCGTATTTGCGATAGAAAATAACACGTCGTCATACCTGACGGTAACATTCGAACACTTCTGAGCGGTTTGTTTTCATGGATGTCTCCAACAGAAAACAAATGTCAACCAATGAAAACAAAGTTAACAGTCCGCTTTGACAGCAAACTCAAACTCCGATAGATGGTGAACGCTTATTTTCTATCGCGAAAATCCGCTATATCATTGTAGGTTTCTTGCAGAAAATTTGATCGATGACGTCACAGTAAAACGGTAAAACCGGTAGTGACATTCAATTGTTTTTTCATGGAAAATATGAGTTTCAAGGAACTATACATATATCTATTATTCATTACAGCGGACAAAGTTAGTTCGGCAACCGTCCGCTTGGGCCAATTTTTGGCGCCCCACATTCAAAAACAGGGCACTCGTCTTTTATCATCGGGTTTCAAAATGTCGGAACGCGAGGCTTCCGACAAAATGGAGGGCGTTTTGAATATCGCCGCAGGCGCAGTAGAAGGTTTCTCCACCGTCTACAGAGGCCTCGAGGCTTCGGCCGCCATTTTGGGCGGTAGCCTCAAACAAAACACCGTCAAAATCGTAGAACACAAGTAAGTAAGCCATAATATACCTATTTTATATTGATTATTCCATTCTTTCCGTGTATAAATAGTGTTTGATGCATTCACTCTTTACTTAATATCATCGCAAATATATACAGGGTGTCCCTAGACCAGTGGGACAGTTGAATATCTCCTGAACCAATAGGAATTTTCAAAATATTATGATTTCACATCATATCGCATTATGAGTGCTAACTTCAGGAATGACTAAATTTTATACGAGGGGCGCAAGAAAGGCTCACAAAATCGAACATCAATTTTTTCAAATGGAACACCCCGTATTTCATTGCATTTTCATATTCTCCTTGATGAGCTGAATTCAACGACCTAGCACACTTGGGGTCTAGCGGGAATGATTTCCGAGATATAGGGTGTGGAAAATCGAGATTTTTCATTTTTGGGAATTTTTTGTGTCGAAACTATTCATAATTGGTCAAAACGGCTTATATGTCCCTATCTCAACTTTTGATTAACTATCTACTGATATTTAATTGGGACATATACCGGGTGATCAAGATTCTGAATTCTGCACCACCCTGTATTTGTTTCAATTAAATGTCAGTAGATAGTTGATCAAAAGTTGAGATAGGGACATGTGAGCCGTTTTGACCAATTATGAATGGTTTAGACACAAAAAATTCTTGAACTTGGAAAATCTCGATTTCTCACACCCTATAGCTCAGTAATTATAACTGCTAGACCCCAAGTATGATGGATTGTTGAAATCAGCTCACCAGGGAGAATCTCAAAATGAAATAATATATAGGGTGTTCGATTGAAAAGAGTTCAACTTCAGTGTTTTGTGATTTTTGGGGACATCCTGTATGTTTCAAAATAATTTCAACTGGTAGCCTATGTTGACATGCAACTTCCTAGAGATGAGGAAGAATTCCAAGAAGATAAGTGGTTAGCCTTCTAGAGACCGAGGCGTTACTGGTGGCCCACCCTGTATAATCCGTCGACAGAGATAAAAACTTTTTTCCCGTCACAGGGACAAAAAGAAATATTGGAAAAAAAGCGTCTTTCAAATTTGAAAGGCGACCGATGGGCCAGAGAAAACCGAAACAGCGACTTTGTTTTGTCACAGAAACAAGAAAAAAATAATGGAAAAAAGCGTCTTTCAAATTTGAAAGACGGCTACAAACGTAAAACCTACGTTTTTTTCATGCAGGGCCACGTCTTTCATAAATGAGAGACATCAGAAAAACAGGGGTAACCTACTAAAAATGAAACAAAAACACTAATTTGTTGGAAAAAAATTATTCTGGTATTAAATGCATCAAATATCACGAAAACTGAGTGTGGCCTCTGACGTACGTCTTCCGATCATAGCTTGACACGCAATGTGTTGAGTAGTAAACCGAGGGCGACCGATGGGCCAGAGAAAACCGAAACAGCAACTCTGTTTTTTTCACAAAAACAAAGAGAAATAATGAAAAAAAGCGTCTTTCGAATTTGAGAGACGGCTACAAGCGTAAAACCTAAGTTTCTTTCCTGCAGGGCCACGTATTTTTACTGAGAGACATCAAAAAAAGGAGGGGGGTACCTACTAAAAATTAAACAAAAACACTAATTTGTTGGGAAAAAAATTATTCTGGTATTGAATGCATCAAATATTGCAAAAAATTCGATCATAGCTTGACACGCAACGTGTTGATTAGTAGACCGAGAGCGACCGATGGACCAGACAAAACCGAAACAGCAACTTTTGTTTGTTTTTTTTTCAAGGTACGGCCACCCTGCAAGTACCCTGACAGGTGACACCCTTTCAACGGTAGGAAACGTGGTGACGATTGCACACAACGCCAGAATATTAACCCCCAAGGGGTTCGCCAGACGCGTCGTCAAGGACACCGGAAAAGGCGTCGTTTACGGACGGTCGAGCTCTTCCAGAGGCGCCGCGGCGTTCAGGGACGCCGGTAGGATGGTGCCCAACGGTTTTGCGGGGGAAAAAGAGGGGTTGGAGGGGGCTGAAGGCCAAAATGATAAGGTGTAATTTTGGGGTTGTTTTGGGCCGTTTGGTATGGGTTGCGTGCAAAAACTGTTAGATGACCGACCCTGGATATGAACGGCCGATGTTTTCTCTTGGTCTGCCGGCTTCTATGACAAAAAATAGGCAGAAAAGTTTCAATGAACATGAGTCGAAAAATGTCCACTTTCCTTCCTATTTTTGGTCGTAGAAGCCGCTGGTAGAGTTTGGCAGGCTGATTTCAGGTCACCCTGTATAGTTTAAGAGATTTTCATTTGTTGTTAACATGACGTGCTGTTAAAACATAAGGGGTGTCGATGAAATGAATGAATAAAGAAGGATTACAATACAAATTGCAATGATTCTAATATCAATCTTTATTAGATTATCATATCCATACAAAGACAGTCCACTATCTATCAAAAATGAACATGAACATATTGATCCGGCTCGAAGGACCAATATGTTCAACGCTCGATAGATAGTAGACTATATTTGTATGGTTATATGGGATATGATAATGAAATAAAGATTGATATTAAAGTTGCTATTCATATTGCAATCATTCTTTATTTATTGATTTCATTGATTTACTTCTGTTTCAACAACACGTCGTCATCTTAACAACAAATAAAAATTTATTATACTATATATAGGGTCATACAAGTACTAAACATGGATGATTTCATTTTGACGTGTTTGGGGTGGGTAGCAGATGATTGGGTAAGAATCAACATCTGATTGTTATTCAATATGACCAACTCAGTACATGATTTTTTTTTAACATCTTAGACTTTGATGAGGTATTTTAATGAAAATTCTTCCGGTTTTCTGGGGAACGAAGAGGAGTTGGAGGACGCTGAGGGTCGGTCCGAGGTAGCGGAGATTGATGGGGTGTAATTTTGTGGTGGGTCGGGCAATTTGGATGATTTTTTTTTGACGTGTATGGGGTGGGTACCGGGTGGTTCGGTGAAAATTTCGTTGAAATCGGTACGGTAGATTTTCAGGAATTTTGCAAAAAGTGTTTATTCTTCTCTTCATTTTCCTATGAGGACTTGAATTTACTTCCTGGTAAATTTTATCGAAATTGGTTCACTACATTTTCAGGAATTCTGCAAAAACTACAAAAAATAGTGAAGTATTAATATCTATTTAACAAACAAAAAATTCCAGAAATTTTTCTTCAAGTTGGTTTTAATCTGTAAGAATATTTTCATTGCTATTTGTTATAGGGTTTGAGGAAGAATTGTTTTCGACATATTAATATTACTGTGATATTTATATGGATATTATATTTTGTATGGGATGAGAATTATTAAATAATAATAGGTATATGTCGGAGGTTATATGCAGTTTTTTTTTCTCAGTCGATCTGGTCATGGCACAAACTTCCTCAATAATAATCAAAATTAGTATTTTTAATTTAAAAAAAAACACTAACAAAGAGTTGTTCTTGTCTGCCAACTTAAAATTGAATATGAAAAGGTCTCAATGTTGAAATTTAAAATCATGGAAGAAAAAATACAGTTGAAAACATATTCTTGCGGGAAATATCAATATTGTTTTCATTCAAATATAAATAATAGAAACATAATTCTCCATCGTATTTTGGGATTGTGAATGCTGTAACGGTTTATTGAAAACAAGTAGTATTCTAAATCATAGATAAATTACTATGAGCAATGATAGGAACAGATGAAAATACATGTAGGTATTTGGTAGAAAATCTGACAAAAATGGTTCCAATGTTTATTTTCTTAAAAAGGTAAAATAGTCCAATAAATGAAGGAGGAAAAAAAGGCAAAGTTAACGTTAATTACGCACTATTTTCATCTTCCGGTTGGAAGTAGCTTTTGGTACGTCATTGAACATGAGACAAAGTTTGACTGGAAAACGCGTGCGATGGCGGAGAAAATGGCCCCAAAAGACCAGAAAAATTAAAGTTCAGTTAACTTTCTACAAAAATGGTCCTTATCATTTTTCTCGAAAATTTGCCCGGTTTCGAGAAAAACGGCACGAAGCGCACCTCGAATAATGAGCTTCTGTGTTGTATGCCGGAGAGCACAGGGACAAATTATTCAATAACTGTTAAAAATGCATATTTTCTCATGATTCAAAGTTCATGTGAAAGAGGAATTCTGCTGCTATCATACCCTGCGTGGCCGCATGGAAAGTAATAAATTATAGCGTGTACATTTAGATATACTGGTTTTTTCCCGGGATATCAAAGGTGGGAATTCCCCCGTTACACTAGTTAAGGTGTTAAAATGTTAGAAATAAAGAGCACGGAGAAAAAAAAACACCGAAAAAAAAGTGCGTTTTTTCCTTGACCCCGCTTTTTCTAATTTTATTGAAAAATGGACGACTTCGTCTAAAAAAGTAATTGCACAATCGAGAAGTAGACTTTCTTAGCTTTCAAATGATGTGTCATAGAAACCAATCGGATCATGTATAAAATTTTAATTGATGGTTGTTCACAAAATTTCCCCGCGCTCCAAAAACAGCAAAAAATTGGGATTCAATGAACAAAGATTGAATGAAAATTTAAAAAAATTAGGGTATACAAATTTCAGGGATGACAAAGGACCTTATGAGGACCCATAATCAAGAAAATTTTGAGTAAATTAGTTTAAAATTCCTGGCGAGGTCAAAATTGACCGGGAGCAGAAAGTTTGACCCATGTTCCCATATGGCCAAAAGAGTCAAGCGTGACTCAATTCACAGGGTATGATAGCAGCAGAATTCCTCTTTCACATGAACTTTGAATCATGAGAAAATATGCATTTTTAACAAAGTTATTGAATAATTTGTCCCCCCGCCGATGTGTAAATACACGTACTGTGCTCTCCGGCATACAACAGAAGCTCATTATTCGAGGTGTGCTTCGTGCCGTTTTTCTCGAAACCGGGCAAATTTTCGAGAAAAATGATAAGGACCATTTTTGTAGAAAATTGACTGAACTTTAATTTTTATCTGAACCGAAAATCTCTAACTGCCATATTTTAGGAGATATTGGCTGAAAACCTATTTTTCTGGTCTTTTGGGGCCATTTTCTCCGCCATCGCACGCGTTTTCCAGTCAAACTTTGTCTCATGTTCAATGACGTACCAAAAGCTACTTCCAACCGGAAGATGAAAATAGTGCGTAATTAATGTTAACTTTTTCCCTTTATTTATTGGACTAGAAGACATAATTATATTTTCACACGGTATTTTTTGTTCAGTTTTGGCCATTCCAAAAAAAATTATACAAAAATCATGATATAAAAAACATTGAAAACAGCTTCATTGGTTTCGTTTTCCTCTTGAATCATCATACATTTCAACAATTTGAATAAATACAGGGTGGGCATGTTACGACGAGCTTACACTATCTTTATATCGAGAATCAGTCGGGAGAAATCCATGAAAATGTGCATGCTTATATTTTAGAATACGCTCTATTCATTTAAAATATTTTCGACAATGCAATGTTGCCGCTTCTACTAGAAAGTAGTAGCAACATTGATATTTCAAATGGAACACCCTGTATTTTATCGCATTTTTAGATTCTTCCTGAAGAGCTGATTTTATCGATATATCACACTTGGGGTCTATCGAAAAAATTACAGAGTTATATAGGGTGTTCAAAATCGAGATTTTTCAATTTTGGGTTTTTATCGTGTCGAAACTATTCATTATTGGTCAAAACGGCTCACATGTCCCTGTCTCAACTTATGATTCACTATTTACTGATATTCAATCGGAACAGAAACAGAGTGATCAGAATTCTGAATCTTGAACAACCCTGTATGCGCTTTACGAGAGCCATTAATTTAACAGAGGCACTGTATACAAACCCTACGTCTGATGAATCAAATTCAACTTTTCATGAAGATTTCGAGAATTGAAAAATATACATATAGGGTGTTACATCTGAAACGAATGTCTTGGACATCATAACTTGAACGTGGATCACCTTGTATATTTGAATGTTCCATATATATGTGGCATAAAAATGACGTACCCAGTACCTACTTTAGGAAAGCATATATAATTGAACAATTGCAAGATACCCATCACGTGATAAATATCTCCATATTCAAATAAAAAGAACACTCACCATTTTGAAATAGATCAACTTGCATCGCCATTTCAGCCACAAAAAAACATACACTTCTACACAGACACACCTTTCTCACACACACAAATAATTGTTAAAGGGGGAACAACTGAGAAGCTGCTTAAATAATATCCACGTCTCAAATATCAAGTTTATATTCTAGCACAATAACACCTTTACAGGTCTCTAGTCTCAACTCTACTGGTCATCCTAACTATTCCCTGTCACCCTCTCTTATCTAGCTTATGTAACTCCTTAATCATGCATTCAATATCTCTTAGTCATAAAACCAGCACCCGTCGATATTCTAAACATAATACGGGGTGATGGTACTGAATCACACAACATATATAATAATAATGATAATATAATAATAATAATAATATAATACTATAGTGATTAATGTAATTTGGTGGGTATCTCTGGAGTGTTTCTAACATCCGGCCATCCTGCATATACATTGTCCTCAATGTCTTCCATATCTGAAAACACAATTCAAACTCAGTGAAAAAAAAAACGACGAAGAGGGTCGCCTCTCTATGCTGTCCTCCATCTGAACATGTCTGGTTCATGGGTGTCAATAATCGTATCTATATCAGTAATGTGATATTTAACTGCAACTTGATGACCAGTTAGCTAACAATACATGAAACAACAATACATTAGACAAATGATAACAAGCTGGTGTAGTCTTTTGTAATCTGGCTGCAACCTTGAGCAGCCAGATGACATACACAGTCAGCTTACCATGTGAAAATTCACTTCCTACCAAGCTGGTGTAGTCTTGTGCAATCTGACTGCGACCTTGAGCAGTCAGAAGACATACACAGTCAGCTTACACTGTGAAGATTCAGTTCATACCAAGCTGGTGTAGTCTTGTGCAATCTGACTGCGACCTTGAGCAGTGAGAAGACATACACAGTCAG